GGTTCCAATGAATCTGGCCGGCCAGTAACAGCTTCAACCTTTACACACAACCCTTTAGAGTCCGCCACCACCAAGGCTCTCTATGCTGTCAGAAGCACATCAAAGTGTCCCTACTGCCATTCGAGGTAGCTTAGGGGTAAGGCAGTGGAAGCACGATCTCTCCGCTTCCATTTCCATAGATTGTTGTCCCGATAGAATTTTGGTTACCCAAGGATATTAGAGACATCAGAGCTGGCGTACGTAGCGTGCGTCCGCTCAGGAGAGGCGGGGAACACAAGGATGGAGAGGAAGTGGCTGTGTTTATGAGCGATCGTCCTGAAAGTGAACAAGCCGGTGAAGATCTACCGTCAGGACTCGCCGCTTCACGAATGGATGCACTGCGTGCCTGGAAAGAGGGGCCTGTGGAGCTCCTGCCAGCAATATGGAAGAGAAGCAACGACTGCTGCAAGTAGTGACCACAGAAACGACCAACGGTTATGACCACATCAGCATAGGAGGTATTTTCGTACTCAAACCCCAACATTGGCCAGGACGGGCCAACTTCAGGTTGGACGTTTGGTCGAGACCTGCTGAACGCCTTCATAAGGGTTGGGCTGCACGAGAATACTGGCCATGACACCCAATGCGGATTGGGCAAAAAGTAGTCCGCGCTGAAGTATCTTCTCGCTGGAGACCGTCTACGGACAGAACACGTTAAGGTTGAGGACTCCTTGGCAGCAGCGACCGTGGTATGATAGTGTTTTATCAAGCACTCAGCGAACAACATTCATGGGAGGGATCTCACCCCTGTTTTCGCTGCAATAGGCCAAACCACTTGGCGGTGCACCAATATCCGCTGATGGCACTATGGTCCAAGAAGTAGAATACCTTACCGACTGATCAATAACGGGGACTAATGAGGGACATCGCCACTTGGGCCATCCGTATAAAGCTACCAGTGGTCACGACAATACCAAGAAAGTAAATACCATAGGTGAATCGATTTACTGGACGACCCGTCAAAGCATGCAAAAAGGCATAATGTATTTGGAAGATCCTCAAAAAGGAGTCAGAACACCAAACCGTTCCATCTTACCCAATAGTAAGTCTGTAGATGCATCAACACTATATAAGAAAACAGAGTTGACCATTCGGTAACTTATGCTCACAGTGGGTAAGATACCCAACATTTTGTAAAGATAAATACATAATTCCCCGTTTTTCTCCTTCCCTACTGTGCCATATGAAGATTCCTTGGCTCACTTCACCACAGGACTCAGGGACTCCCCCTTTCCCATGGGCCTATGGGCCTATGGCTTCATGTGGCCAGATGACAGAGAAAGAGTCCTGGCTTAGGAAGTTGCCACATACGTTGGTATGAAACAAGTGACAAGTCATCCGATACTGTGCCGACCCTTCGTTCTTTTCGCGGTCTTCCTGTACCGAGTTACGTGAGGCTGATGGTTGTCGTGCAACTGTGGCCAGGTCCCTGAGACAACTGGTATAAAGCGCAGGTAGCTTTCTGCATTCCAAGCAGTTTTACTAGAACGAAAGCATGGTTGTCTTTTCACGAAATTTTGGAGCTGTTCGCACGTTTCAGTGTCTTAGTGGCAGCGTGCGCATTGTCAAGACATATCGCATGAAAGTGCCTCCTCTAAAAATGATACGACTGAAACGCGTATGCTGCAGTCATCAGGTGTTACAATGTTCCTCGCATTCCTTAGGGCCAGTGCCTTAGCTGTGTGACGTTCGCTGTTTGCCCGCTAATCTTCTGCTTGCCGCGGCATTTACTTTATTTTTGAATAAGTGGCATGGACTGATGACGTTTGCCTTATCTGAGACTCCTTGGTGGTATAATTAGACTCCTGCGCGCTGTGTGCGTGATCGTTATAAGCATCTTCGATAGTGGCGGTTATCTTTTTCTTAAGGCGTGGGTGTTGCGTTCTACTTGAACTTAGCTTGTACTGCAGCTGTAAGGGCCTTACAGGGAGGTATTTCTCTTGGTAGCATGAGGTTTTGTTAACCACGTCAGCGTTGTGATACTATTAGAAACTGCGGTATGAGTGGCAGCGGATAAAAGAGAGGAAGGGGAAAACCTAGATTGGAACAGCTTTATATTACTTCATCTTCGGACGCTTGTCGGTTGGCTCGTTTCACCTGATCGATGATTCCAACCACGGGCCCTGGGCGCTTTTGCAAAATCGTGAGAGATGCCTCCTGGGGGATGACCCATGAAAAGAACCAGAATCAAAGGCGGCCTAGCCATCGGCGTAGCCATTAGCCAGCAGTTTCTGGTGGTCGAAAGTTTCACGATTTACCGTGGGTCCTTGCCACAGACGGCTACATAAATCCACTGCAGTGTGATTAAACGAAGACTCTTGCGGATTTTACAAGGTCAAAGAGCCAGTGAGAGGAAATCGTCCGGTTTGTTCAAGCTGTGGGAGTGGGGACACCACTGAAGCCCGTTTCTTTGACTTGGATAAGGAGTTAGGGCTAAAGCAAAATGTGAGACCGCTAGCGTGGTGGAGAGATACTGAAATCTCATCCTATCAAGATTACACCATCACAAATGAAGAATTCTCGACACACTCAGCAGTTCTCCCTTCTTTAGGCATAGGTGACAAGGTCCTTGTTGGGTTTCAGTATGTCTGTAAAATGAAACTCACGCCATCCTCCAACAAGGGTGGTAAAAGCCCAAGACGAATCAACGTTTCAGCTCTTTTATTGGTGCTGGAATAGACAGTTCGGGAAGCTGACCATGTATGGAAAGATGTGAACGCATACTAAAGGTTTATACTCGGCAGCCTTCTATATATATCATCAACCACTCCATTCTTCACTCAACCCCAACATATTTCAATTCATTTGAGGTAATGGACGAGTCTGCTGGTACACAACTTTAGTTAAAAGGACATCACTGGGCCGAGCATAATGGGAATGGTAATAAGCATACAAACATATTACCCAGTAAGGCAATAAGCAAACCTATAAAGGCGTTGAGTGTCAGTAGGCAACAGCACTTAGCTAGGATTCAAAGGTGACTGTTACTAACCCAGGAAGTCACTTTCACTATGGCGTATCGTTCCAACAGACAAAGAAGGAATTTTAATAATTTTGAAATCCACTCACCAGCCTTGTACATATTCATGCATTGTGGAATGAGCCACACTTGTTGTATGAGGGCCAATGGTACTGCCTTGTCGTTCAAACCTCGATAGGTGGAGGAGGGTTCAAACCGTGGCCCACTGATTGACGGCCACCTCCCCAAACCAATCAGCGACAGCTCCACAACAGGATTTTGCTAACTAGTACACCCCAGCGAGCTGACCAGTAGGGACACTGAAACGGCTGAACACCTGGCCGATAGATATTTTCAAATGTTTTCACCATCGACCACCTATCAGGGAGTTTGCTAGTATTCCAGTAACCAAGTGGGAAACTCAGTCATTGATTTCAACTTTCGGTTAATCCAATGCAAACTGCTACCACTCCCAAAAAATGCCTATTCGGTACTGGACAAAATCCATGCTTCTCTTTGTGAGGGAGAGAATGAAAATCGGTCGGACCTTTATATAAGTTACTTGGAGGTTCTGTGAGTCAAACGACAGCGTCCAATCCTTGGAAATTACATCACATAACACGAGCCTTCAAAGGAGGTGGACGATCTAGTCCGAAGAACTACAGGCTGGTGACTCTTATCCATAATTTGTGATAGGTCGCCTCATGGTAGCCAACTTCTTTACGCCACAGCAACATGAATTTCTAAAAAAGAGTCCTTGCATAACTAACTCGCTCACCACAGTGGATAGATAAACTGGCATTACCCAACTAGACTTTTCTAAAGCATTTGATCGAGTCAGTCATGACTGCAGTGTGGAAGTAACAAAATTAATCAGGATCAAACTGGCACCCATCGACTGGCAGTCCTCAAACCTACGTGGTAGTTTGTTTGAAGCCCAAGTAAGTTTTTCAGTCTCTGAAGTAAAAGAATTTCCAAGTGGAGTTGCCTAGGGTCGAGTACTAGGGTTTTGTTCTTTCTTAATAAGCATAAACGTGCCACCTCAACAGGGGTCTTTTGAATCATTCTTTTCGCGTACGATAGGAGTCAAGAAGATAGTGTTAGTTACAGGAAGACTCGACTTCAACATTAGGAGATCCATATCGAGCATGCATCACACTCTGGGACTCATTTCATGTCAACGGTCTCAGTAGATTGGAACAGAAAGGCGTCGTAGGTGGAGAGGAATCAGGTGTATTAGTCTTTCAAAAGTTAAAACCCTGTGAAAACTTTGACAGAAACTCATTTTATGGGAACTTTTCTTCAGTAATCTTGGCGAATTTTCGGACAAATCGATTATAGATCTGTTCACCAAATTTTTAAGAGTTCGATATAGCATCTCCTGCAGTTCCAGAGCATGGCCTTACTCCTCTCTATATGGAAACACAAATTAGTCATCTAATTCATCAAGAAGTGGTCAATCAAATCTATTTGGGGACTTAGGTCTAAGACATGATGAAAGAATGTCAGTGATTGATCTATCTCCTACGTAGCATGGACGACTAAGATGGTGCTTTGTAGTGACCTAAAATACACTGAAAATCCCTCGGTACACATTCTGTCCGGCAATTAACTTTAGTTTAAACACCGGTGAGAGAGAACACAGAAATAAGGCCTAGGATATACCAGGTTGGATTTCAGGCACGATTTCTGCTCTTTCTTTCTTTCTTCTTGCATAACCATCCAGGCAATTACACCGGAATCCTTTAAACGCCACCTTGACACGTACTTATTATGTGGGTGGGGGCTTACTCGAAAGTAACCTGCTTCCGATGTTTATCTCTTTACTTGTAAATAAGCCGATAACCAACGAAAGTTGTGACTTTTCCACCTCTAAAAGCGGAGGAAAATTATGTGAAAGCTTTTCTTATCCGACTACAAACCATTTGAAGCTCGTATAACAGACTTCAAATCCGGGTGCTAAGCTTGCAGCGCATCTTTTAAATCACTACGCTACTCTGAGATGAATGTAAGCCTGGCAAACTTCATTACGGCTATTAAAAGCTATCATCAAAGCTACCAGTTACTTCAGGAAAGAATAATTGTGATAGTTTACTTTCATGTATCTCTGCGCAGCTTTTCTACTCGCTATGTTCACACTATGTGCACATCACATGGTTGGCAATAATGTCTTTATACGACCTTTGTGAATTATAGCTATGAATAGTTTCATTAGTTTTTCCGGGATATAGGTTTACGTCAAAGTTTCGACTAGTCAGGTCCGTATTATCGCGAGTCAGTATCTAATTTTTATGAGAGCGTTGGAAAAGTAATGAATTCATTCATTACTTTCAATTAAAAAAATCGTACTTTATTTTTGTACTCTGATTGTACTGTCCTAATGTTTGCTCACTCCAACGAATAAGAAGTCGAGAAAAACGTTTTTAGTCTGCGCTCCATACTAATTTATGCAGTGCAGTACTGCGTAGTAATTACTGTAGCAGCATTTGCTTCGGGCGCACGTTGTAAGTTTTAGGCAAACACCTGGAATTTTTACTTCGATTGCAGTTGGGGAGACTCACTACGTTTTCACGAAAATTCCAGACATTCTACCCGAAGTTGTCAAAAGTTCCCAAGTGCCCCCAAATCTTATGCGATGCGCCCGAAGTTCACATGGTGTAGGCAGTTTTACTTATAAGGACAGTAGGTCTGTGTTTATCCTTGCAGAAGATAACTCTGTGAAGATCTAGTTTCTCCTCAAACGCGTTGATAGAAGGTGCTGAAACGCTTTACTGAGGTTAGGAACTCCAGTCGTTGATGACACGATGGGAGAAACTCAGATTCATACCGAGTTGGTTCGATCGCGGTTTTTGAATTATCTTATGATACCCTCGGAGATAGTCAATTCTAGAAGGAGTGGAAGGATAGGACATATCAGTACCGAAGTTGTTATTAAGGATACGAAATGCCTGCATGAGATCACCTCGTTTTCTACGGTAAGACAGAGGGAATAAGTTTAGCCAGTTTAGTCGTTCGTCATAGGGCAGATTCGAAAGGCCTTCTAAAAACTTAGTACCTACCCTATGAACACGTTCGGATACGTCAGCATTCTTTTTTTAGAGATGGGCTGGCAGCCTGAGTGCAGTATTCCAAGTAAGGTCTAACGTAAGTAGAGTAGCGTATTCTGAACATGTTCTGATCAAAACTTTTGAAAGCTCTGCGGATGGACCATAATACAGGGAAGCAGTAGGCCTAGGATTTTTCCTTGAGGAACTCCACTCGTCACAGGTTTCCATCCGGACAGTATCCCATTAACCCTCACTCTGCCGTCTGTCGTACAGAAAGTTCCTAATCCAGGCTTGCCATGAAGCAACAAACTCGAAAGAAGAGAGCTTTTCTAGTAATTTCATACTTAACACTTTATCGGATGCCTTACTGAAGTCTATAAACACGGCATCCATTAGCAGCCTGCCATTAAAAGCTGCTGCCCACTCCTCTGTCTCAACAAGGAGGTTTGTTAAACAGGAGTGTCTCGGGCAGTGCACCCTAAGTTTCGGAAAAACCTATATCCGCGGTTCTAAGAAGCCATATTTGGTAATATCATCATGTATATCGTTCACGTTTCATCGCGATATGCGTTTATGTGTTACAAATCAATGAAATGGAAACTACCAACGAAAATAATTGAAAAATTTAGGGAACACACGAAATTTGTTAAGTGCTCCTGAAGTAAATGCTGGCTCTGTAATATATCAAAAATGCTTCAGAGCATCATTCATTAGGTAATGGTCTTTTAACAAAAGCAAATTATTTGGCACAAAACAGCGGTAGACTAAACAGAAGTCGAGAAATTAGAGAAGTATAGATAGGTGATAAAAACTACTTTTCAAGATTTAATTAGAGATCAGTGATCGTTGATTGTTCTAATTCAAAACGTTACACACTTAATCATCTTCCTTTCTTAAACACAGAATGGATAATTACTGCTTAATACTTTCGTGGTACCAACAGAATTTATTGTATGCCGAGATTCTATGATGAACAATTAACTAATCAGTTCTTAGAAAAATACCCATAGACTTAAAATAATGAAAACACGTACTTCAGCAAAGAGACTGTTTTCGGCAACTTCATTCACTCGGTTGCGCAGTAGCGTTTATATACAGTTTGGTGAGAATTTACAATTAGTTGCTTAGCATAGCAGCCAACGAGCCAATACGTGTAAAAGCAAAACGTCATTTTCATTCTGAAATAACAAAAATGTTAATGAAAAGGTATCGTAACATGCGAATCGAAATTGTCATGACTTGAATCGGCAGAATCGCCTAGGTTAGTAGTTATTGCTCAAGGTATCATCGAAATCTAGTAAAGATGGTTAGGTCCGATCAACGTGTTCAGTAACATGATAGAATACTTAATGAATGAATTGCATAGAAACATGGAAGTTGATGTGTAAGAAATGGGTAGAATGATGGGTATGCTTTGAAGTGGTTAAGATTAGGACCGTGAAATGTCGAAAAGCCTCTTTTGTATGCAAATCTTCATTTGGATTGCTAAGGCGTCAGCAATACAAAAGGAGGCGGGTGTACACTGACTTTGACAAGTCCCTTTGAAAAAAGGTGGTTGTTGAGACTGCATGGACCTGAAGCAGCTGTTGAAGAACTTGTTTTGATGAGAAAACCTGAGTTCTCTGCTCATTTTCTTTTTACTGTCAGGTTGGTAAAGTGGTTCAGTAACTACCACATCCGTCCATTCAAGCTAGATTTTAGGACTGCAGTTTTGTATTACATCATTGGATTATTGTATACAGTTGTATGATGGTTGTTTACTAGATTACTTATCAAGTCTCCTTATCGAATGAACATCGCAGCATCCATCAAAAGTAATTTTATAGCTGTTACAAATATCTGCAAAGTTCCTTCTCGAAAAGTAAATAAGAAAAGATTATAAGATCGAAGTTGTAAAGCTGGTTAGCAACATTGATGCAAATATGGGCAACAAGTGTCCAGTAGATAATACCACACAACAGTGATACAGTTGTTAAACAAACGTAAAATTTATCATTCCATTTTACCCCCTAGTCTCAGTTTTGTTCAGCTTTTAGTACCTTATCTGGCTGTTTACATTGATACCACTGTTACATCTTTATTTCGAAAAATAGTTAAATTACTTTGTATGAGATCAAAGTATTGAAGTCAACTCTGGTTACGACTGATGATTAGTCCCTGTCGTGTCTAGTTTCATCTCGAAAGTACAATATTCACTAGCAATCAAGGATTTCAGATGCCGCTTAGTAGGGTGTGATGTCTAAACTTCGTAAAGATTTTAAAAGCTGTGATATAAATTTTGTCTGTATTTTTTAAATGCAATTTATCCTATTGTGTACGTCTTGCAACTCCTGTTTTTCATCAGAACTTCATATCTTGAAAATTCTAATATCACCTTTAGAAAGCTTGAGATAAAGCGAATTTACAGTGTTTAGGCCTAGTGTTTTCTATCTTTATTAGAATAGAAGGCATTCTCTAAAATACTGGGGAAGCGTACTTTAAGCTCTGTGTTCGGGCTAGCTGCATAAAGAAATTCGTTAAGGTAAAACTAATGCGTCAAGCTCTTCACATCTACGTAGTCCCCTCACCTCGGACATGGTGCATTGTTTCCTAATTACGTACATTACCCTTTTCAAGGCATCGACCTATGTTTTTCTACGGGGTTCAACATCATATCTTTTTTGAGTGATAACGTAACCTTTGTCATTGATTTGTATGACTCAGAGAACGTAATATTCATGAATTCATCCTGCTTTATTACAAAGCATTATTGTATTCCACATCTTGCCAATAGTAAATCATACAAACTGTTAGTGTTTCCCTAGTGAAATTACCTTCACAGGAAATCCTATTGTAACACTAATCCTTTTTTCTTCGTAGGAACTTGAACAGCTGGAATACTTTTGCAGGGAATTATATACAACTAGTGATCCAGAAATTCGAAGTCAAGCGGAGAAAACTTGTTCTTCGTTATGTGAACGACCAGACTGTCCTGCTATATGTCAGTTACTTCTGCAGCATTCAACTGTACGTTTTTTGTAACTGTAAAAATATTATCTATCTAGTCATGCTACACACAAATAATTGCTACTACAGCCTTAGCTAAGTATATTTCCAATCGAGATGCTATAATCTCGCACACATCGCGCTTGGCTATTCGTAAGTCATCAATTTATTCTTTATATCCACATTACTGAAAACAGGAGATTTTGCATTAAATTATCTAGCTGGACACGTTGGTTTAGAAAAGTTTGTACAACAAGCTTTGGTCACGCTTATATGTCGGCTAACGAAATTGGGTTGGCTTGATTCGATCGATAATGGTCCCGGATTTTGTGATATTTTAGACTGTGCATCCAAGTTTATTGAGGTGAGTAACTTGTCGAAGTAAGTGCCTATATTTTTTGCTATAAGCATAACATCACTAATTGCTGTGAGCAATCGAAATGCATTCAGCAACCTTGTGCACATTCGCGCTATAGGCAATGAGCCACACCTAGTTGCCCAAACGTTGGTAAGTGGAGCGGAGTTCGTACTCACTACCCATTGGTTGTCATCTTCCTAAACCAATGAGCCACAGCTCCAATTTCTGTAAGAGAATTTCTAAAGAATTTGGCTATTTTAGCACTTGATGAGGACTTTCATTTGAATATTAAGTGCAATTTCTATCGTATTTGTAATTCAGGCTAGATGTAACTATCGAAATTCCCATCGAGTTCCCAACCTAGCATCCATCCGTTCAATGTTAATCGGTAGACGACTGAATTGTGATGTTCACATGTAGTGTAACTTTTCTAGTATTCACTAAGCGTTTTCATCATTTCGATCATTCAAAAAGTCATGATAATTGGCTGCTATTGCAACACAAACTCTATAAAAATGTCTTCCAGTTAACTGACTGTTGTTAGTGGCTGACTTTGGAAAGTGGCATTCTTGATTTTTCTATTTTCTATCGTTGATTCGGATATATATACCTGTCAGTGACTGTCTGTAAGTAGTTTGGTGTGATATATGGTGAAGTCTTAGTTGGATGTCACCCACTCTCAATCATTAAAAGTTATTTTCTTTCAAAAAGAAGTCTTCACTTTAAACTGTTTGAAGTGTTCATTTTAACGGAAATATTTCATTATGTAGTTACTGTTTTTCCTATTTGTTTTCATAAACGAAATTGAGTTTAAGTTAATGCTACTAAAGTTACCTGAATGGTGTTTACTCATGCTCCTATTATTCAGGTTAATCATCTACATTCTTAGTAGCTTTTTAAAAAGTGTTATAAGTAGAAGAATCTCGCTGACTAATTCATTTACATTGACCAGCGTTCTATATCTCAAGGTAGTTTTCAGAGTCATATCGACGTTTTCTATGCGTGGATGGCTGTTGCAGCTGTAGTTATTTGAGTTATTGAAACTCTTAGTTTCAATTTCATGAAGTATCCACAGAATCTTGCACTTTAACATAAAGAATGGAAGTGGATAGAAAAATGATTTTAAAGTAGATACAAAGAATATAAATACACTCTAATCGATATGGCTCTATGCACCTCCGGGTTCTTGAGGAATTACCTACTACTAGAAGGGTGCTTGATCGATTAGTGCATCCACAACATAGCTCTCTTAGGTGAAGACGCTGAGAAAATGTTAAATATATATGTGATTAGCATGAATTTCATACTTGTCAGATGTATAATACTTCAGGATTGGTCTGCACTGACTTCTAGTTTAAAAATAGCGAATGAAGTGGTGAGACATGTTGGCAATTTTAATTAGCTACGAACCACTATCAGCCCCAGTGGGCTAGTTGGTGAAAAAATCTCATCTTGGATATAGAAGGCAATTCGGCATTTAGTGACTTAAACTATGTCTGTTATCGGTGAGTTATCCAACTGCGTATCGGATGGTTATACTGCGCAGCGGTCCGATCTTTCCTACCGTACAACTAAGACGGCCGTTAGCAGTAGGAGATATGAAGTTACAGTTTTTGACCATTAGAGCCGTCGTAGCATTGCTCACTTGTGTTGAACCACCACATAAGATACTTTGGGGATTACGCGAAGAGTACTAGTCATGTTTAGGGTATGACGTTATGAATCTTCACCCACTGATAGGTTGCTCAGATATTGTATTAAGGTGTTAAGGTTTTTTCGATACGTTATATGTGGATAATTTGTACCCGTACTTTGTCATTGGTTATCCTCTCTATGCTTTCAACAACCCATTCATCACATTCACTTGTGTTCTCCTCCATGAGTTACACAGTGTAATATTGACGGTATTCAGATTTTTGGACCGGAATAGGTGGCGTGTTTTAGTAAGTGATTTCTAGGGGGGTTAAAATTCATACAAGTTAACCACTTACACATATCAACTACATTTATTAAAACCTCTAAAACGGCAGTACTAACATTAGACACAGAAATTTGAATATAATAAGCCACTTGGTCTATTGAGTTGTGAGTCTGTCGACTAGAGTAGGTGGTTGTGTAGACTACATGTTGCTTTTCATGACGGGTTCTACACGAGGACCTGTATTTTGCCAAAATATTTTTTAGTGTATCTATCTATTACTTTTTTTTCTTAACTTACTGCTTTCCTGGTGTTTCATAATTTTCTTTCTAAAAAACAAAATTCAGTGCGGTCAAACAAGCGCAATTCTTACTGGAGTACAATTGCTGAACAATTTGGTTTCAGAAATGAACCAGGACAGTGAGGTAAGTCTTTGTAAGCTTTATTGCAGTTTGTTTAATACGCTTCGCAAGTGTTGATGCAATGCTGACAACTTTTATTTTGTTAAGACTAAAGAAAATAATTGCGATGGTAATGACTAGATAGAGAATACAGTGGTTTTAAGGATTGTTTTCAAGCGTCATGGTTGACTTTGACGTCTTTCACAGCTGGGTGGTTTTATCCCTACCTAATGGATTTCCAATAATAAGCACCCCGTCACATAAACTCTAACCTGAAATTTTCCCACTTAGTTCAGAGCAACAGTCAAATGTTTCGTGTAGTGACACCACGCATTAGCCTGACCAACCTTAATCTTTTTCAGCCTGAAACTACTTCAGGTAACATTGACCAACGAGCAGACAGTGGCTAGGCATGCGTAATGCCACTGTCCAGCCACTTGAGTCCATAAGGTTCCACAACATCATCCATTTTTCCCCTCTTCTACCCAAAACTCTCCATGTGATTTTTATGTTCCTGAGATGATGGCATAGCGTCACTCGGTATATGCTACGAAGGCAGCGATCGTCAAACATCTAAAGTCTTCTCATGTCTGCTATCTTTAATGACCTAGCTTTACAGCCAACTAGTAGAATAGACCGAAGTTCGGTGCAGTACTACATTTTGTCCTCTTCAGACAGTCGGATATCACGGCTGCGTCACGTATTGTCTAAGTTGGCGACGACAGAGCGAGCGTTTTGTATCCGTGCCAAGGCTTCGTGGGTCACTGACTCATCACGGCTGATCCGACTTCCCACATAAGTGAAGTGTGATGATGAGGCTTTTATGGCCTGAATAGCCAGCTAGCATGTAATAAAGATATCAATTTCTAGAGTCCTGTTTCCTGAGTCCAAACCAGCAAAATTCAGAATACTTTGGTGCCAAGCAAGGAATGTATATTCAGAACATGACGAGACTCAGTAAATACTGTTCCTGACAACAAATATGTATTTTAGGTATAGTAATATACCTTCAGTTTTACCACTACTACAGTTGATGACCAAAACAAAAAAAGCAGTGGTACACCAAAGCGAAAGACATCGAATATACTTATACAGACAAATAAGATTCAATCAAGTGACAACAGTGTCATAAGACTTCCCGATCGGCAGATTTGAATGGCCAAAAGCATCCAGTGTCAAGCACCTGTGACCATGCCTGTGTTACAAGATCTGATGGAGGGTGAAGATCTAGTCAATATGCAGAAGACCAGGTCTGAAAGATGCCTCATTTTTTCTGGTTTGTTTTCCCCAAACTTCACTCACAGGCCTAATGATTATAGAACCCAGGATCTTTGACATTGTTCGTCAAACTAGTTCCCTTGTCTTTATTATAAAAGGATTTCTCTCTTTGAAGACTAGATCGGTCAGTGATTGACACCAGTAAAGGGAATCGTGTTTGTTTCTCTTAAACTGGCTAACACCAGTTGGCCTAACCAATAATCTGCAACCACCGTTCTTAAATACTTCTGGTAACAGCCTCTCTGGGCCTGGTGCCATCTCTGACTTTAGGTTACTTTCACCCTTCTTAACTTCTGCAAGATTTAAAGCGTGTATCTCAACGCTCCCTTCAGGATCCTGCTGCATATCAAGGGACGGAGACTTAGGTGGACTCCAGTTGAACTGTTCATTGAAGTATCCCACCCATCACTATTCGTCCCATCGATGAGTAAATAGCGGATACATCCTTCTCCTGTATGGTGTCACTAGCGTTGATTTCTCGACACCAGTTTTTTTGATGTCTAAATATCTATCTACTGTCACCTATCACTGCTGAAGTCTTTTCTATTTCTTCAGCCTTTGCTACCCACCACAACTCATAGTCATTGCTTAGACTTATTGTTCATCTACATTTTAGTTGCTTCTGATCCTCGTTGTGCTTGGAGCCTCCAGGACTGCGTTTACGCGCATCCACTAGGTCAGAAGAAGCTACTGGCATCTACTGACTCTTCCTAACATCTTCCTAAGAGTCAATCAGGTCTTCCACGCTGTTTCTTTTTGTATAGCAGACTGGAGATGGCCCCACGCTTCTGAATTAGCGACGTCGCCCCTTACTAGTAATTATCTGGTCAATTTCTCACTAAAAGGAGCCTTAGTATCCTCATTTTAGCTCTACGTTCGGAATGGTCTTGTTGCTGTAGTTTGTCTGCGTTCATTTAGACGCTGACCTATGCGTGATGGAACCAGCGCACGATCACTGTCCAAGCACGTGATCGAAAATAAGCAGCAATCTTCCACCAACTCTCTCCAGCCATAATGGATAGCAATATGGTCTATCTGTACCCACCGTTTGGTTAAGGTCGGTAGATCCCACTTCAGACAATGTCTTTGTTCGTCTGAAATTCTTGCTGACCAAAAATAGCTGGTTGTCTTGTCACAGTCGCAGCATGCAATCACGCTTACCGTTTCATCCCGGTGAGGTTTCGAAGGCACCAAGTAAGTACCTTTATGTCTGTCTTAGCCTATCCAATTGTGCATTGAAATCACCTGCTACGACAGCTACTTTTAACAGCCATGTCTCACAGTCGTAAAGCAGGATAGAACGGACTGCAGAGCTGTATAATCGTCCTTTGATAGATAATTGGACGATTTTACTGCGCTGCAGTGCGTTCTATCCTGCTGTACGACTTTGAGACATGGCCGTTAAAAGTAGAAGACATGAAGTGATTACAGAGTTTTAATCACGGATGTCTTTGTAGCATTGCTCGCGTTTGATGGAATCACCTTGTTAGGCAATGTTAAGGTCAGGCGATGCGTTCTAGGCAAGACAGACAAGTCGATTGATGAATTGGTAAACCTAACTGAACTGAAGTATCTTAGACATGTTTTTCGCATTCCGAGTCACCTCTTACCTCGATGTACCATGTTAAAAAAAGTTAGATTACGTTGAAAGGGAGTTCAGAGTGGCCAGACCAAAATGTGGCATCAGTTCATGAAGTCCCGGACTGTTGGTCTGAGCCGTGTAGTGAGATGTAGTTTGCCTGGCTGCTGTCCCCAAGACGATTGGAATTACTGGTTGATAACTCTTAGTGACATCGTTGAAGTGTAGCAACTTGAGCCGATGCACCTGTATGCGAGGTTCTACGTTGATTCTATCTATTTGTCATTGGCATACGAATTCTAATGTTGTTTTGTTGGTTTATTACCATGACGTATGAATCTTTGCATTTTATTAGTATTCTTAGAGTTTACAAAGTATATAGGATTCCCTATCTCTCAAACTAACTCTTATAGCCTATATTCCATATGATGACGATACAATGTTTTCTTAAAAAGAAGTTTGACCCATTTAACCATATTTAAATACGTAACCTTGTTGTATTTTCTTCTTCTTCTTCAGTCTGATATGACTCGTGCAGTTTTCCTACAACGTAGAAGATCATCATCATTTCGTGATCTTCTCCTGTTGCCTATATTTCGACTTGGTTTGAATTTATTACGAGATGCTGATGGAAATTTAGCAACTTTAGATTTAAGCAATTCTGAACAAGTAAGTCTACTTTCTTTTTGTTTCGTTTTGAAAATCCTATTGTATTTTCTAAAGCTTCGTTGACTAAAGTTTAGTACATTATGCCTGAACTATAAATGTATGTGATTGTTGTTTTATTTTACGTGTCTCAGTGGCAGTTCCCTTTGTTGTTTACATGCACTATTCGAGATAACTACTAGTTTAAACCCTTATGCTACTGACCAAGTTTTAATGATCTACGTTTTCTATGCAATTCATCATATACAAATAAGTTTATACACAAAACTGGAAGTTTACGTTCTGTATATTAGAAAAAATTGACTAAGGTAGGTTTGAGTTCCTGATGTGGAAGTTAGTATTCGGTAAATGAACAGATCATGTTAGAAGTCAATGAATAAAATTCGTGTTATCTCATATTTTGTAAAAATTATCCTACTTTAATGTGATTATTTGATTTTCTTCTCGAATTCATATACCATCCAAGGGATTCTTTTCAAGTTTAGTGATGAACTGTACTCCTGTTATTTTTAGAAGAAAGTAAAAACACTTTTCCCTTGAATACTCAGTTTCTCAGTAGTATACCGTCTTCATATAATCAGTTCACTGGAATTATTTGGAACTACGCGAAAACAAATGATTTTATGATAAACTATTATTGTCATCATATATCTTGACGCATCATTGTATTCTTCCTTCTCTTGTAGTTTCTCAATGCCGTTTTCTTTACTATTTATATTCCTTTATGTTGAGATTATGGGATACAGTTAATTGGAGATGTGTAATCTAGTTACTGGATGGATGAACGACACGATACACCAGAACACTCGCTCAGCTAGCTGATACAAAAAAGACATTAGTAAACTGAAGATCGGGAAGTATGTATCTAGACAGGCAACTCTTGTGTTTAAATGCAGTGTGAGCGTCCTTGGAGCATATAAACAAATTAGCCTGTTAATGGTGAAAGATTAACTCAATAAGGAAGCAGCTTTGTTAAAAGCGGTAGAATTAAGTGTAAGCATTCATTTTTGGGATATAACATTCCAAACACTTTACCACATTTCTTTGAAGTGCAGCAGGATGAAGCAACATACTGCTGTATGTCAGACATTTACTTGCTGCTGTCACTTTATCCTATGGTGAGCATTGTTTAAGGCACTTGGTTTCCAACGATGGGTCGCGAATTTAAGCCTCGTTCTGCCCATCTGTACCTGATCAACTATTATTATTATTATATTGCTTTACAGTTGGGCAAACGATACAATAACATAAATTTTACATGAAATAGCCTCTAAAGTAATTATTTTAGCTTACTTAGATATACTTGACCGAATTTCTTATCTTCTATACTCTGAACCTTGAATAACTATATGAAGACGCCACATACCAAGTAATTCACAATGGGAAGCTCAGTGATGACTTTGAAGTGAAGACAGAAGTGAAACAAGGCTGCCGCTTACTTATTACCAATCATCTTCCTGATTGTGGTCGACTGGATCATGCAGCAAACAGTGAGGAGCGAGAAGAGAGGGATACGCTGGACCGGGGAAAAAATCCCGGGAGATTTGGATTTCACCGATGACTTGTGTCGAATGTCGCACAAACTTGAAGATCTACAGTCAAAAACTAACAGGTTGACAGAAGGGGCAGGGCAACGAAGACGGGACTTCAAGTGAACTTAGAGAAGACAGAGGTGATGAAGATACCCAACCAACAACAACAATAACAGGCTCCAATCACCATCAACAGGAGAAACTTAAAGGAAGTAGCCTCCTTAACCCACCCTCCTAGGCACCACCGTTTCAACTACAGGTGGCACAGACACAGACGAGAACCTCAAAGCCAGCCAGGATCGGAAAGAGAGCAAGACAGGCTTTCATTAACCGGAAACAAATATGGAGATCTTCTGCACTGCACTGCACTAAGCATAAAGCGTGAACAACATCTGCATTTTCAACACCAACCCAATCAAGTCACTGCTTCTATATGGTTGAGACACTTGGCGCCTTACGAAAGGCATTTCCAACAAACTACAGACATTCATCAACAACTGCCTACTCTGTCTCGTTACTGAATCTCAGATGGCCAGAATAATAAGAATAAGCAAGAAACAACTCTGGCTGGCCTATCAACGAACCAATTAAGAAGCTATCGCTCAACAAATATGCAGGAGGAAGTGAGGATGGATGGAGATGGATTCACTAACAAGACCATTTGGGGACATCAAGCTCCAGGCACTCGAGTGGAACCCAGGTGTGAAACGGCGAGTTGGGCGTCCCAACTGAGGGTGACATAGAGGAGATCGTGTGAGAAAGAAGTGAGAGCTTGTGGGCAGTGGTGGAGCCAGGTTCAAAAGATTGTAGAGAACAAAGTGGGATGGAGACGTGCTACTGAATGTGTATGTTTCACTCGGAACCCAAGGGACAAATAATAATATATAATATAATACTTTGAACCATTGTAATCACTACTGATTTCAGCTTTCAACCATGCAAACGAATATTTTAATTCGCTCGATGGTGACTAGTAGTGGAATTCAGGACGTGCATTTCTTCTTATTTAGGACTCATCAACTGTATGTGCCTACACCCCAGTGTGTGTGATGTTATTACCACTGAGACGTACCCAGTACCCATCGCATCACACATCAAACCGTTATCCATTAGGCCATTAAGGCACGATAGTTACCTCTTCGGTAAGGTACTAAGGATATAGTTTGCTCTAATAACGTTTTGTAGCGAGTACGAAATTTGGTTGTCGTTATAACTCCACAGTCTTCTAATGCATAGGAGACACGTTTGCGATGGTGAGTGTTAGGTTCAAAGCTGATACCTACATATTTGAATATACGCTTATTCAGTTGACAACCACTATACTGTATAACATGTGCATTCTACATCTGACTAATTGCGAGTTAAATGGAGTGCTATGTCTCTTACGAATTCGATGTCATGAAAGCGTTTTTCTCTATAGGTAGAGAATTTCACCTGTTTCAGGTGCAGGTCGCCAACGTATTGGTCCAGCTGAGAGTTCTGAATATTTTTAACCACCTCATAACTGAATAGCCACCTACTCGGGTTCAACCCAGCAAAATAGCTGCCTGCTATTTAAACCACCTCAGTTTGGATGACAAGCGCTGGTGTCGTGTAATTCTTCTGTTCACTTTCTTGAACTTATTTTCATTATCTAACAGATTACAGCATATGATCTGAATATTTTCTTCTTCACGACTTGTCATTGGAACTTCGGGAATACTTCTCGAAGCTAGTCACCAACGAGCACTAGTTCAATTAAATTTTGAGGGGGTTGTGGAGATTTGGAAATATTTCAAGTTGTTATTCATCGAAGACTGATATCAGTTGGAGGAACGAAGGAAACCTGGGAGCACTAAACAGCTGTTTCGTCCTAGTATGGGACTCCTCAGCAGTGCGCACCCACGACCCCACCGGTGGAGTCAAAGCCTGATGGCCGTGAGGACAAATACTCAACGATGACATTGGGTGGCGGTTTGCGCTATATCGTGAGCTAACAGAAGTTGGAAATATGGAGCATTGGATTCTGACCCAGTGGCTCAATGGTAACGCGCTGGTCGCGGAACCCGAAGGTCGCGGGTTCGATGCCTGCTGGTGGGGTCGTGGGTGCGCACTGCTGAGGAGTCCCATACTAGTCGGACGAAACAGCTGTCCAGTGCTCCCAGGTTTCCTTTGTTCCTCCAACTGATGTCAGTCTTCGATGAATAACAACTTGAAATATTTCCAAATCTCCACAACCCCCTCAAAATTTATTTGAATAGATGATAGAATCTCATCATAAGGGTTCATCAGGTTTTGTCATCCTAATCATGGAATATGACTTTCATAAATACATATTTTGAAGTATAAAACAACAGTTATAGTTTATTGTATATTTTTTTTCTCTTTGAACAGCATGGTCTTCTATCACAAAGTCTACAATTAGTTCATTCTTGTCTTTCATATGATTTCATTGGAACAACTGGTAGTATAAATAGTACAGTGTGTGATTCATCTTCTGGTGGTTTAGATGATTTAGTTGTTGTACAAATTCCTACAAGTTGGCGACAAATTTTTCTTGATTCAGATACTATACCTTTGTTTTTTCGTTTGTATAAAAATCTTTCACCTGATCTATCTGTTTTGGTAAGTTATTTTGTTTGTTTATACTTATGTGTAAGGGGGTAAACACTTAAGGTTATTTTACTCTCAGTAGTTTTATCATTACGAATGTGAGCCATATCTTTAAAGTAATCTTATATACTTAGGTGTTTATTGTGCTTACTGATGATATCTTTGTAATTATTGAAATTGTCTTTCAGTCATACCAAAAAACTCTTCACTTAAACACTTGACTTTAGTTCAAGTCTGTGTAACGATATATAGATGTGGAATCACCGTATGAGAAATGTTGAGGTCAGGTGAAAGGTACTCGGTAAGATAGGAAAGTCAATTGATGCGGTTGTGAACCTTAGTCGACTGGGATGACTTCGTCATGCGTAGCGCATGCTTGATCCATCACCTACCTTTACCTGATATATTGTTGGGGAGAGTTTGAAAAGGGTTCAGGATGACTAGACCAAGGTGTGGCACCAATCCATGAAGTCTCGGATTGTTGGTCTGACCCTTGTGGGAAGAAGATATGTAGACTATCTGATCGTGGTAGCAGAGACGATAGGAATCAGTAGTTGAGGATTCTTGGTGAAAATCGGTCACAATGGCACAGATGTATTCACTCTCTTTGATGTCTTGTAAAGCTTGAATATATTCGCAATAACCTTAATCATCATATTGTTTATTCTCTCACATAACTTTATCTCCTTTGATATCATTCTTTTTCTATTCACATGTTTTTTTTATATACTACTGTGAAGTGTGGCAAATTGAGCAGATGCATCTATGTCTAGGATGTTTTGTCACTCCATTTCAGCCTCAGGGGATGAATGAAGGCAGGGAATACTTGCGAATCGGTTAACTTTATTAGAGTTCGTACCGCTGAAATAAGCTGAATTTACGGTACACACATATAAATCGTGAGTGGTTCGGCAAGGAAATGACTGACAGTGTTACATGGGAGATATAAACCGAATGGTTAAAAATAAAGATTATACCAAGTGCCTATTAAATCAGACTATCTGAAAGTGAAAGCGAAATACTGCTGATTTAGTCGTACCCCTTTACCGGCTAGATAATTCTACTTTGTGCTTAGATATTGTATTTCATGTTAATGATGATAATCGTAATGTTGTAGTCTTAGATTGATTAGTCACTGAAGAACAATTGACTTGATGTCTAGTTTTAAGTGATTATTCTGACTTCCATAGATCATTTTGGAATTCATCCACTAAACTAGGAAGCCCATTTTGATGGGTGTTAGTTAATTAGTTGAAGCTAATTGTCACGAAGCCCTGTTCCATCTAGGTTTCATTCAACAAGACGTATCTGCAGTCTTGGGGTAACTAATCTCTTCTGTGAGATTTAAACACCCAATAGTGCAGCTAGCGACGTTACCACCGAGACATTTGACTATAGTAATAGATTGTATACATTATTTGGTTAGTCACTGCAGAGCAGTCAATCTCATGTTGCCCATCCCTGACTGCTGACTGAATCCTACCGATCATTTTGCAAAGTGTTGTCTTACTCATGAAGTCAATTCATTTCGAGTTATCATGCTTAAAGACCATCCATAGGGAGAGTAAGGACATACTGATATTGATTTCGGGGATAAGGACTCAAGACTCTTCAGTATCTATTTCTTCGCTATTGATTGTCCAGGTTATCAAGCTTTTATTTACCGACACTGTCAGAATTAATAAAAATGACCTTATACATATCATGTGGTTAGTTTTGAAGCTTCTTCGTTTCTAGAGTCGTAGTGCAATACTCTGAAAACGAGAAATTTCCCTCTTTTGCTTGCAGAACTAATCATAATTTATCTATATTGATCTTGATGACTAGAAGAGGAACCCAGGACGTGCGCTTCGTCCTATTTTAGATTCGTCAACCGGATGTACTTGCACCCCAGTGAGTGATGTTGTTCCCACTGCGGCTCCAACCCAGTACCCATCCATCGACTTTTACTTACTTTTAGATGTTACCAAATGTTTTTACCTGCTTTTCTACTGCAGACTGAATTACGCGCGTTTTAATCAAGAAAAGAATAGCTTCTCTATCTTCTGTCGAAATACACACTTGATGTTCTTATCTTCTAGTTAGGTACATAGAAGCTTGACTGTTATCCATTTTCTGCGACAATAAAATGCGGACACCTGTGTTCTTACTATCGCATGATCAGAGTTTAAATAGGTGCTCTACTGATGGCTTTCTAGTAATATGATCTACCTGTATCCATTGTTGGATTGATGTGACAGACGCCATGCTAGACCAGTGTCTCTCCTTATACCTGAAGTTAGTGTTGACTAAAACTAAGTGATTGTTAAAACGAAATTTTAACACATGATCATCCTTGTTGGCTTGTTGGAATGTGACTCCTTAGATACTTCCAAGATGCATTTTCCGTCGCTTCAACATCCCTACTTAAGCACTGAAGTTGACTGCTATTGTAAACATATCTGAATATTTTGCTTTCTATCACAAAATTGACTATCTCTCATAGAATTCATCATTTACATTATTCAAACATCCGTCAATGGATGTGTACGTCAAGTGAATAAACACACTTGGCTGCTGTACGTGTACCTCAGCTTATATTCATGACTTCAGATTCCTGAATTTTGATAAGTGAAGTTTTTTTTTCGATTCAGGGTTAGGGTTATAACATTGAAGGCTGCAATGGGAAACTGATAGCAGATAGACTCAGAGATAAAATCAACAAACAACCTCACGCAAATGCACGGCGAAGCAGTAATATCACCAAAGTAGATAGAGGTGTATGGAAAGAGAAGGAATTTATAAACGAAGGTTAGTCACAACATTAGAAGACTCAAAAAGTGAATATTTTTTCACTATTTTGACCGATTTTCAACCATGTCATTAACAGTTTGCAATCATTGATTCCTGTCTTCTCGAGAACCCCAGTCAGGTAGTCTACATCATCGGCAGCTAAAACCAAAGGTCAGAGACTTTATGCACCGGTGCTACTTCTTGATGTGGTCACCCTCAGCCTGATTCCAACCTAATCCAGCTTCCCCTAGCATGGCATGGCACGTCGTGATAGGCGGTGACTCGGCATACGCTACACATGACTAAGCTACTTTAGTCGCTGAAGGTTCATAGCCTCATTGACCAACTTTTCCTCGACAATACTCAGATGGTGACTCCACTACTCAGTAGTAATGCTACGTAGCCACCCATATTCGAGGACACAATTTATTGTCCATAGTTATACCAAGGTACCTATCTCCATAACTTTGAGACATTGTTGTTTATGGTTCCAATTTTCTCTCCTCCATTTTGATATAGATAGTAGGATTTTTCATGCATCCAAAGCAGGAGCTGAGTCATTCATGTCATATTTATTAGATGTTGATTCGATAAATGAAGATTCGGTTATCAATCTCTCCCTCCACCCCACTAGGCTAGTTTTAAGGATTTTCACTCTGCTCCATCCTATTGTATGGTTGTGTGTGATAGCATGCATAGCTGTGGCTGAGCTCTTTTCTGAATTCTTTATCTTACTAGAATCTATCAATTTTGATCTGACTAGGTTTTCTGCTAGTTAGCCTAATTGACCCTGATCGACTACTTTGACCTATGTATTTGACCTCACAATCGTTGCAAGAGATCTGGTTAACTAAAGTATCTTGTTTAGTTGGATCAGTTGGATCTTTTGACCTACTAAACTTATTTTGAGTTTGTGGGTTTAAATATCACTCTAATCCCAGACTACGTAATGTCTTTTAGGTGTCTTCCTTATATGGTAATACTGTAGAGGTTTTGGATTCGCTCTTCACAGGATTGCCGCTATTATTATTATTATTATTACTAACACCTGCTACCTACATTAGTCATATTTTTCTTACGATTACTAAAGAATTTATCAATTAATTTTGGAGGGTATTTGTTGATAAGTAGTGTCTCTTAATTTATCTGGTTTCTTGTCTTAGATCTTCTGTTTTACTAGTAGGTTTTCTGGCCCTTTTATTTACACAATTACTTACTTATCAAGTCTTGAAGTTGTGTAGATAGGTACCTGGATATAACTATGGATCGTGAATTGTGTCCTAAACATAATCCAGTAAATAATAATGCTATAATATTGATCCAACTAATACAGCAACTAAAATGGAATTATATTCTACCATAGTGCCCAAGTTTTACTCTTATATTCGTGGTTTGAATTAGATGATCTCTGAACTATTCCGTGAATATTATTGACTTACCATTTAGTGTACGTGATACATGCAGAGTCGAACTTGAAAGTAACGTATTGTTGAGTGAACTACATTCACATTTCGATGTCGAAGTGACTAATACAGAGTCGAATTATTAAAGTTCGACTAAGAGAACTCTCAACTACATGAGTCAAATACAGTGAAAGAGTCATCTGTTTCACATTTCAACTTCCCTGTTACTGAAAAGAAAGCACAACCTAGTGGAAACGGTTCATAGCATTAGCTTAACGAATACATGATTTATGTGCGTGTAACGATGGTTGGTGACCGTTATTCAACAAATAGAGGGTCAAAAGAGGAAAAAATAGTGATCGCACAAATCCTTAGCTTTTGCTTCGAACACTTCTTGGAAATACAAGATTTTTAAGAAGCTAGAAATGAGTTAAACAATGTGCTAGGTCATTAGAACTGTCCTAATCCTATCAGTGCTACCATCTCACGACAGTTTGTGTGTATGTGTGTGAGTGAGTGAGTGAGTGAGTGAGTGAGTGAGTGAGTGAGTGAGTGAGTGAGTGAGTGAGTGAGTGAGTGAGTGAGTGAGTGAGTGAGTGAGTGAGTGAGTGAGTGAGTGAGTGAGTGAGTGAGTGAGTGAGTGAGTGAGTGAGTGAGTGAGTGAGTGAGTGAGTGAGTGAGTGAGTGAGTGAGTGAGTGAGTGAGTGAGTGAGTGAGTGAGTGAGTGAGTGAGTGAGTGAGTGAGTGAGTGAGTGAGTGAGTGAGTGAGTGAGTGAGTGAGTGAGTGAGTGAGTGAGTGAGTGAGTGAGTGAGTGAGTGAGTGAGTGAGTGGTATCCAGCTCAATAAACGTGTTATGTCGTCAATAGCAACAAGATATTATTTAATACTGAGTGATGATGAGGATTGAAGTTGAAACGAAAATTTGGTCTGCAATGGGATCGTGTCAAATCAACAACCACAGGGTCACCGGCCTACTGCCAACTAAGCTAAGAGACGCAGTAGCGATTGGTTCCAATCCAACCGTGGCGCGAATTTTCATTTCACTTTCAATCATCATCACCTAGTTTGCCAAACCACGACTGCTGTCTCACAGATAGTCAAAATGTTAATGTATATTACTTGTGTACTGTGTGTATGTAAGTGAGTATTTGAGTTGGTCAATTCCATGGGAATGACAAGACCACAGGTTAGGGCTAGAGAGATGTGGTATACAAACCTAGATTACTGCTGGGTTTGTTGGTTGACCTAATGGCGTTATTTGTTAATGCAGTCGAAGAGAGAGAAGGAGGGTTAGGAAGCGGTTAATAAGGCTGGAGGGTGGGCAGGTGGAACGGAGGTAGGGACAGTTTACTCAATAATTTGTTGTTGACCAATTGAAACAGGGTCGAATTTGCCTACTTGTGCAAACATTGTACAAGTGGAATCTCCAACTTGTTTGCTAAAAGTACACACCCTTATATGTACGTGAGTGAATCAATCAGTCAGAAGAAAATCGGTGAATAAATAAATAGAAACATTTAAATAAAGAATATAAACCTACTTGTGTTTGGAAGGCAAAGATGTGTTGTATATCTGCGGTGATAAAGCGTAGGTTATTCTATAGTCAATTATCATATAGGAATTAGCCAAATTCCAGGTACAAGGCATTCATAATATGATTAAAATAGTAATCCAATCATCCAGTAGTGGTTGTAGACGTAGTAGACAAAGTAACAGTAGGTCCATAGGAAGATAGTTTCTAGAGAAGTTGATTGACTAACTTACTGACATGATAACTGCTGGCTGGCGGAAGTCCTGTTTTCTGTTTATCGCACGCATGCAATACTCACTTAATTTTCCTATACAGATTATAAGGTTTCTATAACTGAAGGCCTAGAATTATGCCTAGTTTTCATCACCACTTTTCGGAATGCCATAGTTCACACTTGATTATCTAGGCTGACGGGTGGCTTTCAACGGAAATCCTGTTGACACTATCACTGTTGGGCATTTTTAGCTTTACTCAGCTGTCAGAAATGTTAGTGTAGATAATGGGACTTGTAAATCACTTTCTGTCAACAGCGGTTGTTCATCACGTTGGTGAAATTTACAAACGTTTAGTCCTGCACCAAAAATATGGTGGCGATATGTGGGTGACACATTCACTACTGTGTTCAAATCAGAACATATCGACAATTTCCCCACACATATAAACTCAATAGTAGAAGCAAAATATTCACTTACGGGGAGGTGGGAAATGAACAAGGAGAACTACCTGTGTTCCATTGCAGGACAGAATGAAGGACAGATGGTGGTTTGCATACCACCGTCTATAGAAAACCGAAACATTCTAACAGGTATCTAGACTTCAAGTCATCCCATCCCATCGAATGTCAGTTAAGACAGGTTCAGTCAAATGTCGAAATGATAGAGCTAGAAAACTGACTAGTCAGTGCAAGGACTAAAACAAGGAACTGAAACACGTAAAATAAGCACTAATAGTTAATAATTATCCTCTACAATTTATTGAGAAATTCGTACGAAAACCTAAGAAACGAAATAATAACAATAACACGAATACGAATACGAATGAGACTAATAACGACAACATGAGTATAAAGAAGTTCACAGCCTCCATTGTGTTAGCTTATAAGGAGGATACATGAGAAACTTTATGCACGATGCTGAAGAAAGCGGGAATCAAGTGGTATTTATACCTACGAACTGACTGAGAGATAAGATTTTTGTCGGCTGGTTTAAGGTTCCAATAGAAAGAAGCAATTGAGTAGAACAATGTAATCTATCAAATTCCATGTAATGACTGTGAGGTCAAGTATATAGGTCAAACTAGTCTGTCGTGGTCAGTTAGAATAGCTGAACATAGAAATTTAGCTAAATATAGAATGACAGAGGTGAGTAGGATCAATAATCTGGAAAAAATCTCGGCTATCGCTGTGTATTCATTAACACACAACCACCTAGTAGAATGGATGGGATGAAGCCACTGTACTTAAGTCCAATATGATCAGGTAGAGAGAGAGAGAGAGATTGATTACCGAATCTTTGTGATCTTTATGATTACGTTATTATTATTTATTATTAGTCCCTTGGGTTCCTAGTGGAACATGGGCTTCAGTAGCACGTCTCTGACCTCTGTTCTCTGAGATCTTTTCAACCTGGTTCCACGACAGCCCAGAAGCTCTCATTTCCTCCTCGCACGACCTCCTCCATGTCACCCTCAGCTGGGACGTCCAACTCGTCGCTTCCCATGGGGATTCCACTCGAGCAACTGGCCTGACGCGTGGTGTCCTCAGTCGGCCTTCTCAGTGCATTCCTAATCCATCTCCACTTCCTCCTGCATATTTGTTGCGTGATAGGTTGTTGGTTGGTTCGTTCCCAGAGCTCCTTGTTGCTTATTCTTTCTGGCCATCTGATCTTCAGTAGCGAGCCAGCGTAAGCAGTTGTTGATGAATGTCTGTAGTTTATTGGAAATCCCTTTCGTGACGCGCCAAGTCTCTGAACCATACAGAAGCACTGACTTGACTGGGTTGGTGTTGAAAATCCGTATCTTGTTCCGCATGCTGAGTGCAGAAGATCTCCACACTGGTTTCAGGCTAATGAACGCCTGTCTTGCTTTTCCGATTTGACTTTGACGTCCTCGTCTGTCCTGGCCTGTAGTTGAAACAGTGCTTCCTAGATAGGTGAAGGAGGTTACTTCCTTTAAGTTTCTCCCGTTGATGGTGACTGGAGTTTGTTGTTGTTGTTGATGGTGGTGGTGCGGTATCTTCATCACTTCTGTCTTCTCTATATTCACCTGAAGTCCCGTCTTCGCTGCCTCTTCTATCAACTTGTTAGTTTTTGCCTGCAGATCTTCAAGTTTATGTGACATTAGGCACAAGTCATCGTTGGCGAAATCCAAGTCTTCTAGGTTCTTTTCCGTGTGTGAACTTCACAAAGAAATGAAGTTATTATTGATTTTGTATAATTTTTACAAGTTTTCATTTGCATTAATTCCCCTTTTCATTTTGTTGTTTTGTTTATTTTAGTCACTTTCTTGCCTAGTTCAAATATCAAGTATTCGACGTTCTCTATTCACAAATGCTGAAAGATCAATTTTTTTATCACAAATTGTCTCTGGATGCCGTAATGTTTTATTATCAATTAATAGTAATATTATACCATTGACAAAAACTACCAGTTTTGGTTCTTCATTGAATACATCAACTACACCTAATACTCCTATGAAAAGTAATAATAATAATAATAGTAATAATAGTGATAATCATAATAATAATAATGATAACAATCAAGATTGTAACTTAATGAATAATCCTGAAGCTTATCATGAATTCTGTCTTCTATTATCACGATTAAAATGTAACTATCAATTGAATGAATTGGTTACACTCAGTGATTATCCATCATTTATTCAATTACTTACTGTTTTCACTGTACAAAGTTTAAAGGTAATTTATCGATTCTCTGTACTCTTTTTTTTGGTTTTTGAAAACAAGTTGTGAATGTGATAATTTTCATCATATTTGCTTTATCCACATCGATAGGTCTACACTATCATTTTCAACTGAGTTATGCTAAACCAATAAGATATGAATTTGTTAGCAGTTTAGTAATATACATTGAATTATTGATTAATCAATCTCCGGGAAATTTCATCTTACGAATGAAGTCACTGACATCAGTTAGTGATGTAGCAACAGGTATTCAACGATGGCAGTGGATGAAGATCGTGCTATATGTGAACTGATAGAAGTAAGATAATGTAAACTACTGAATTGTGATCCGGTAGCAGCTCAATAGTGACATGTTGACCGTGGAACTAGAACTTCCTAGACTCAATCCTTGTCGGGGTCACAGGTGTGCACTGCTGAGGAGTCTCTTAGTAGGATGAAGCAGCTGTTCAGTGTTCCCAAGTTTCCAATGGTTCTTCGAGCTGTGCTGTTTAGTCATGTCTGTTCTTGATTATTCGTTTGCGTGTAATGTGTCTTCCATCTGGTCACTGGTACGGTTCTTTGCCGTATTTCTTGTTGAGTGACCTTATGTAATCCTGATGTTTTAGGTGACTATTCTAATGCAGCAGAAAATTCTGGTATGGATGTAATTCAATCCTTTCTGAAGTTCTTCCATTTTTATTAGTGGTTGTTTTGATAAGTTGGCAACACAGTTATTTGTTTCATCGATTATGGGTGCTTATAAGATTTTGAGCAGCTCTTTCCGAAGGGCTTTTCTTCGTTGTTCTTTGTATCATCTTGCTTGATTTTTCAACTGTTGTTGTTAACGCTGTCATGTGTTGTGTCGTGAGTATCCTTTCTAGTTTTCTCTTTTGATTATTAATCACAAATTGGTATTTCCGGATCCAATGATGTGCATTTGTGATCATCAATAATTGTACCATTTACCTTCCACTTTGTTCAGCTATTTTTCATCCTATTGGACAGTCAATCGGTGGTCTATATCTGACACTTTTCAGCCGAACATATTGACGTAGGTACTCATCAAGAAAGAATAGTTGTTCTTTTGTGGAAGCTTGCCTTTTCGAGAAGTCGGTCCCATCCTTCGAACAACGTAAAGCATGTTACGCTCGTATGATTTTGTAGCTCAGGTGGATGGTCCTGGTTGTATTGTGTTATCTGAGCTCAATTGTTCCTCAACAGATATCAGTCCATGATGAATACCAACTTGAAATCAGTAAATAAATCCCCACACACTTTCGAATCGAACAAGAGGATTTATTCTTTTAGTTTACGCAACTGAGTTTATTAATTCATGAGTGGCTGTTTGAAGGGCAATCACAAAGCAGGTATCCGTAGAAACTTATTTATCTTCCACTTATGAATACCTGATAGATAATCTCATCTTGAATAGTTTTGTGTTAATCTACTATCAGTTTACTACTAATTCTAACCAAAGTGAACGGAAGACGAAACGCATAAATGGATGACAGTGAAAGCATATGAAGTTGTCGTCTCATTGACATGCTAAGGCGCAGGTGAACTAAATTTTGGAAACCTTACTATTGGCAAGATGTGGCTACATCAGTTTTCCTTATGATCTTTGCTAACGTCTTCAGGAATTTAAATTACGAAAGAAGAAGAAGTATATTTCAACAAACAGTCCCTTTTCGGCGATTTCATTTTCAAAGCTGTACAATCGCAAATTCATACATTTTTTAGTTAGAAACGGTTTGTCATGCATGGCAACACAAATAAGCTGTCATTAATATTAGTTGGTTGGAGGCAATCGGCAGGAAGCCTTTGACTTAGGTTTCTGTTCTTTTTGGCACTCGTCAGCAAGGCGTATCTGCAACCTCGACGGAACTAATGTCCCGCCTTAGGTTCGAACCCGCGTCACCCAGTGCAGGTACGCCATGCTGACGAGTGCCAAAAAGCACGAAACCTAGTTTCAGGACTTCCTACCCGTTTCCTCCAACCAACTAACATCTACTAATATGCACCGTGATGCTGAGCTTCCTAGCTTGGTTGCCACATTGCAAATATGACCGATAAGATTCGGTCTGCGGTCACGACTAGACAACATGAAATTGGTTACACTTCCGTGACCAATCAATACAGTCTGTCATTAAAATCGAAGAAACCAAAAACTGATAAGTAGTGAGTATTAATCAAAATAAGTTTGGATAAGAAGACGTTTCGTAACATAATGACATAATCGAAAATTGAATTATGATCAGGCAGAGCATAGAAACAAGAATGAGTAGCAAATTACTTAAGAAGTGAATAGAATCAAAACAGAAAAATGAAAAGAAAAGGTAGGCGGGATGGAGGGAGGTAGAGGGGAGTCTGAAAGAAGAAGCGGTTGAATAATCTTCTTTTGCGTACATAGTTGAGGTTTCTCCATATGATTGATAGCAAGAGCTTTGGCGATGCAGAGAATATAAAGATGTCTAACCTTTTTGAAAGTTTCTTTTCACTTCATAGAAGACTTAAAAAGATTTATGATTGTGGTTATAATGGCAGCCTATTTGTGTTACCATGATTGACAAACCGTTTTTAACTATCCTTTGTGAAACACCTATTTGCTGTTACCACGTCATTAAGACTTTGCTCTTAGATTAGAAATTACTGGCCAGACCAAGACATGAATACCAGTGTATGAAGTTTCTCACTGCTGAACTGTAACATGTAGACTACCTGACTGTGGTCTCTGAGACTGCAAGAATCAGTGTTTGAGGACTCTTGATGAAATGATTGAAAATCGATCACAATGAAGCAGATACATTCGCTGTCTGGACGTTTTGATTAACTTGCATTTATACATTCGTTCACCTTCTATAGACCTTTGTCTATCTACTTGAATTTTGTCTGTTGATGTGAAGTGTAGTAACTTGAACCAATATACTTGTGTGCAAGGTTCTACACTGATTATATCTGTCTATCTGTCACTGGACGATTTCCCTTCATCATAGGAACTCATCAACTACTTCTCTTATTCACTCTTTCTCGAATATCTCACCGCTGTTGACAGGTTCACTCACCAAGACCAGGCAACAGTCGCACTGAGTATATTTTGTATGTTCTGTCAGATCTTATTAATTTATTACCTAAAAAAATGATTTCGATTATTATTTTCCTGTTTACTCGTTAAAAGTAGGGTATAATAATATCTACCAACTTGTAATCTATTATATTATTATTATTATTATTATTTGTCCCTTGGGTTCCGAGTGGAACATAGAGCTTCAGTAGCACGTCTCCATCCCACTCTCCAGTTCTCTGCAATCTTTTCAACCTGGCTCCACCACTGCCCACAACCTTTCATTTCTTCCCATACCATCTCCTCCATGTCACCCTCACGTTGGACGCCCAACTCGTCGTTTCCCATCTGAGTTCTACTCTAGTGCCTAGGCTTGATGCCCCCAAATGGTCTTGTTAGTGAATCCATCTCCATCCATCCTCACTTCCTCCTGAATATTTGTTGAGCGATAGCTTCTTAATTGGTTCGTTGACAGGCCAGCGAGAGTTGCTTCTTGCTTATTCTTATTATTCTGGCCATCTGAGATTCAGTAACGAGACAGAGTAGGCAGTTGTTGATGAATGTCTGTAGTTTGTTGGAAATGCCTTTCGTAACGCGCCAAGTGTCTCAACCATATAGAAGAAGTGACTTGATTGGGTTGGTGTTGAAAATGCAGATGTTGTTCACGCTTTATGCTTAGTGCAGTGCAGTGCAGTGCAGAAGATCTCCACATTGGTTTCCGGTTAATGAAAGCCTGTCTTGCTGTCTTTCCGATCCTGGCTGGCTTTGAAGTCCTCGTCTGTGCCTGTGCCACCTGTAGTTGAAACGGTGGTGCCTAGGAGGGTGGGTTAAGGAGGCTACTTCCTTTAAGTTTCTCCTGTTGATAGTGATTCGAGCTTGTTGTTAGTGGCGTTGGTTGGTTACGTATTATTATTAGTTAACTTTTATTTTATATTTTATTTTGTAGATGTGCAATGATGAGTGTATTCAGAATAGTTTACATTATTTATTAGCATTATGGCAACGTTTAGTAGCTAGTATCCCATATGTACATCCACCTGATACTCATCTATTAGATACTGTAACACCTCAAGTTACTAATGCCTATATACAATCATGTTTAAACACTATACCAAAGTATATGAATCATACTACCATACATATTAGTCGTGAATCAATACGCTCTGAGAAGAAATCAAAAGAATTCACTGGACATTCATGGAATAATATTCTATCGACACCATCATCTCCACTTAACAGTATATTATCTACTAATCACAATCATAATAATAGTATTAGTAATAGTAGTAATAATAATAATAACAATACTTCTACAAATCCTAATAACTGTAAAGAAGACAACGGACCATCGATGGAAAATGAATGTCTACTTGATGATTGGATCACATTATCACAACAACTGGATCAGGTAAGATTTTAATTCTCTTTAAAGTTAATTACAATGAGTTAGTCAGTTATTATCATTATGGAACTTAACATTAACTGTGTAACATTCCAAACTGCCATATTTTATACACATCAAGGAGGCCATTAGGTGACAAAAAGAGCTATTGAAGCAAATACATACAAAAATGTGATGTCAACTATTAAGGTGAAAATACGATGTGAATGCATATCTGTTATCATTCACAACTCAATCTGGAATTCTACAGTTGTCATACTCTTTGTGAACTAATGATATACGCTCTATTCTGGCCAAATTTAATCTTTTCTTCAACTCATGTAGCTCGGTAATGTAAATGAAGACTTGAAATGTGTAACATGCTTTCGTAACCACTTTCATCATCGTCAAAATCAACATAGGACCAGGCATTACTGCGTAACGGTCCCACTTGCCACACCTCATATCAGTACATCAAGTAAAACGACAGTGAAGTGGAAGATGAAGAAAAGAAAATGATGAGATTCGGTGTAGCGTTATGACGTATACATCTGCGCCACTGACATCGGTTCTGAGCGATGTGACTACCTAGAGTCTCGAAGCAGTGGTTTCTCTTGTCCAGCGGACCCCAGCCGGGTAGTCTACATTGCCCTACATGGCTCAAACCAACAGTCAAAGACTTCATACATTGATGTCATGTTTTAATCTGGCCACCTCTTATCTTTTTTGAGCCTGGACCTACTTCGTCCAACATTGTGTGACGAGGCAATCGGCGACTTGGCATACGTGACACATGTCCGAACCATCTCCTCAGTCGACGAAGGTTCACAAGCGTGTCAACTGACTTACCTCTTCTCCTTAAAAGTCTACATTTGACTTGTGCGTTACTCACGTGGTGTGGTGACATCACGGAATACAGTCTATACCACGAAGGCGAGGATGGTCAAACACCTGAAGCCTTCTCATGTATTCTATCCTGAATAGGCACGTTTCACAGCCATACACTAGAAGAGAGCTTACTGGTGTGAATGTGCAGTACACGTGACCCTTAATAAATAATCGGATATGATTGCGGTGCCACTGTATCGCATATTGATTATCATTGATTTTTTTCCCTTAGGTTCGTCGTGTAATGTAGGGCTTGAGTATGTATTCTATCCTGAATAGGCACGTTTCACAGCCATACACTAGAAGAGAGCTTACTGGTGTGAATGTGCAGTACACGTGACCCTTAATAAATATCGGATATGATTGCGGATACCCTCCATCTGACATTCGGACACCCAACTCGTCGTTTCCCATTTGGATTCCAGTCGACGGCCTGGCTTGGTGCGTGATGTCCACGAATGGTCTTCTCATCGTATGCTCAATCGACCTCCATCTTCACTTCCTTCTGCATTTTTGTTTGGCGATGGGTTGTTGGTTGGTTGTTTGGTGGGTTGGTTGGTTGGCAGTCAGCTAGAGTTCCTTGTTGCTTATTCTTATTATTGTAGTCATCTGAGCTTCAGTAACGAACCAGCGTAGGCGGTAGTTGATGGAATGTCAGTAGTTTGTTGGAAATGATTTTCGTCATACGCCAAGTTTGTGAACCATATAGAAGCGCTATCTTGCTATCTTTTCAATCCTGTCTTCGACGTCTTCATCTGTGCCACCGCTCCTGTAGTTGAAACGATGTTGCCTAGACAGGTAGGTGAAAGAGACTACTTGCTTTAGATTTCTCCCGTTGATGATGATTGGTGCTGGTTGTTGTTGTTGATGTTATTGTTGGTTGGTTATCTTCATCACCCCTGTCTTGTCTATGTTCAGGTGAATGAAGTGCTGTCTTCGCAACCCTGCCTGTTCTGTCAATTTGGAGCTTGTGCGACAAGATAATAGACATAAATCATCATCGTGGGCGAAATGCAAATCTTTTTCTATAGTGTTTTCAACGGTCGAGTCAGTGCATGCCATCTTCCCACAGCTGCTCTTAGTTTATTGGATTATCCAGTCGAGTCGAGTTGAGTTGACCAGAATCAGGAATATCATTGATGATAGTGGGTGGCAGCCTTATCTTACTCCTGTCTTCACTTGACTTGACTCGACTTGACTTGACTTCATAGGGATGACTACACTTTGTATTGTGAATCACTTGGTATACGCCGTAATCATGTTGTTGTTGAATGATGTTGATAAAGGTTTTTGGTACTAAAACCGTAGTAGTGTTGAAGCAGCTGCTACCAAATTACTTGTTTGTCGACGCTGTCGAAGGTCTTTTAAAAGTCGATGAAGTTGAGGTGTAAGGTAAAGAGTTGACTGTTATTGTATAGTCTGTTGGTTCTATGATGATGTGTAGTGTAGTGTTGGCATTTGATCTGCACATGATTTTTTTGTTGGAGGCAGGGAGTCAGGTAGGCAGGCAGCCTGTTTCGGTGGTTATTTTGAATCTGGATCATTTTTTAGTCTCTTTAGGATGATGCGGCATGATATTTGGTTTGTGTTGACAGGTGTGGAGCATGATTCCGCGCAAGTTATGCTTCACGAATATTAGTGATCCACACACTGTGTAACCGTTTCGTTCGTTTGTAAATGCCATTAATCAGTGGCATGCCACGGTAAATTCTACACAGAAATTGTTTATTTACTCGGTGCATTTCAGTGTTACGTCATCATTATATTTAGGTATACCTATCTATTTTATCCGGCTGGTTTATACGCATACATGTGCATTACTATCATTCACTGTTAATCTGACTGTGTAACATCGTTTTGTTCTAACAAATTTATGATGATGGTGAGAGTTATTTTATGTGAACAAATGAGTAAACATAGGACGAAAAAGTGAAGATTATCGACAACAGTCTAATTGACTTCCAATTACTACTCGTCATATTCAGTAGTATATGTGTTTTCAGTGGAATTTTTCATAATTCTATAAATTGATACAGATTTATATATTGGACCACTGACCATACTTAGCGTACGGTGACTCACAATACTCCCCAAGTCTCATGTAGGTCGGGGGGGGGGTGAAGTGATGACGGTATGCTATGCACGTCTTTGGTGACATCAATGACTCTTCGACGTATGTTGTGCCTTTGTAGTTCTATAACAAGTGAGTCAAAATTTTGACTGTTTTTTTGTCGGTTTATTGACACACTTGAAGATGCCCTGTTTCACTGAGTTAAAAGTTTCTGGGTGCTTTATGTGAATGAAATGTTTATTGTCTTCTAAACATCATTATCATTAACTTGTATTCAATGTAAAAGGAGGAATTTATTAACAGTATCATGTCTTTTCAAAATTGTTTATCCTATTGTTAAATTTTTTTTTCTCTTCATACCATCTATTTTAATGTTCAGTTTGGAACAATTGGTCGTTGTGAATATACAAAAACATGTAGTATTATTATCCCATTATTTGATGAATATGCAAGCAGTTTAGAAAAAGCTTTCAGTATACTGACTTCAAGTAATCTATCATTGAATGATCTTCATTTGGAACAAGTTCTACGTTTAGAAGAGCATCGTCTAGCCTGGCTTGTATATATGATTGGTGAGTGTGTGTGTGTACACTGTTGTTATACTGTAGGATTTGATGTTTCCATGTCATTTTTATGTCATCATATTAGTATATTGATTGATTGATCACCGGTGAATCTGTCACTTGTTTCCAATTATATTATGACTATTTTGCTATATGCAGCTGAACACCGGACTTTTAAATATTCTACTGTTCTCATGAATTTACCTGAAACAGTATAACGACTAATGTGTGCGTGTATGTTCTGTTAAGATATCAATCATTGAAGGATATACGAACTTTTTTAAGAATCCTCATTTGAATAGCTGGTAAATGGTAGATATATATTTCTGTCGAATTTGAGTTTATCAACCTTAACATGCTGAGCCACCGCCTACCTCTCAGCATGTCATCCTAGGGGAAGTTGGATTATGTACATTCCAGCTGACGAGTTTCAAATAGGACGGAACCGGCATCCTGGATTCCACTGCTAGCTACTATCCATCATTAAGGCGTGACATCAGGTGATGAAGTCTTTTACTGTTTTCTCTGAATAGTGTGGAGAGATGTAGGCTACCTGGTTGGAGTCCCCAAGAATTTGTGGTTGTGGACTCATGGTTACATAGCTGAAAATCAGTTGCAATGGTGCAGATGTATTTACTCCTTGATATCTTCTAAAGCTTGAATATTCACACTAACCGCCATCTCACGCATCTTCGTCTAATTTGATATGACTCCTTTTCTATCCACTTGTTTTTTGTGTATTTCTATGAACTGTGTCAGTTTGAAGGAATCCAGTTGTATGAGAGGCTCCATCCTTACGGCTTACTTTTCTCACCTTTTAAACTCATTTATAACCCGTTTATACTTACCTATCGGTCGATCTGATTTTTAAAACCGGTAATTGTAGTCATATTCAGTAGACGCTTTTTGATTACTGTTCATTTTCACGTTCTCCACGAAAAATGAAAGCTGTGTGTTAACTATTGGAGAAGTTTATCAAACGAGTTTGTGATCTTAAAACACAATTTTACAAAACAGAACAAAGCTTTTCACAAAGTTGAAAACTCCACTTCAACAGCCTGTAGTAAAATAACTGACACAGTTATCATTCAACATCTAGAGTGGCCTAAATCAGTGTGATCTGGCCGGCAAAATATACAGATTAGCCTGACTGGTTTCTAGTTGTTCAGCAGTAGAATATTTTGCTAGTTCATGACACTTTTGTGTCAGAGACCACACCTTGTGATCTTGACTGTGAGATCGTTTCCTACGGAATTTCTGTGGGAACCTCAGTTGCCGAGTTGAAAACTCAGCTGTGGAATACGTCAACGTGGACCGTGCGATTTGTAAAATCATTTGCAAATTGATCGTCTTATTTACGAAAGGAAAAAGTATCAGGATAAAGGGGATTCTTTTTGAAAATTGGCACAAATCCAGCATCACTACTGATAGAGTTGTTCTTTACACAAATGATTCACGTAGCCACTTCTCACTGGTTAAGAACCTAATAAATGGCTTAGATTACACTAGACCTCAGTTCTGAGTAACGTCTGGATAACGTTTCGTACACAATTTACTGTCCATATTCATCTGATGTCATGATATGAATATGGTCAATAAAGAGACTAAAATGGAATTACAATCTACTACAGTGCCCAAGTTTTACTCCGATATTTCGCCTCTTACTGAAAGCCAGTTACTCAGACGTGGTAGTTATTTCAGGTGATTTCAGCTGACAGTTGGGTATGTTGAGTCACAAGGAAAGCCATTTAAGTGGCAGTTTCATAATCTCAGCCATCTCTTACTACAACTGTACTCAGACAGCCATTTATTTCTGATCAACACGAACTTCAGACATTGTCACGGCGTTCGCCGAATTCATCTCAAAGGTGGACAGAGAGAGACTATATTACTACCACTTATTCCTGTAGAGAGTTGTTGGAAGATCGCCACGGCTTTTTAAGCCCGCGTTTGGACACCTGTGGGCGTTAGAGCCTATGGTGAGGTGTCAAGTGAGTTGTGTACGTCAGCCCACTGAGCCCTACCGTGTTGCTATGAAACATCACCATTAAAAGTGGATGATAGAAAAAGGCTTCAGGCTCATAATCACCCTTACCTTCGTCACATAGACCATTTGTCCTGGAACCATAACTTGAGTAACGTAGAAGGCAGTTGTAGGTTCTTAGGTAATAGAGAGGTAAGTTGGTTGACGAAGTCGTGAACCTTCATCGGGTGATGTGTGTGCCTAGCTACCGTTTGTCTCGTTGCGTAGTGTTAATTGAGGTAGTTTCAGACTGAAAAAGGTTAAACGTGGTCAGGCTAAAACATATTATCAATCTGTTAAGTATCTGACTGTTGCTCTGGACTGTGTAAGAAAATACAACCTTCGACGTTAAAGTCCACATAGCAACCGAAATCGATTGCTGTAGAATAGGTTATGTAGTTCATAATTGATCTTGGTGTTGTCGAATCATCCACGCATTATCTTCATCTGTATCATCACACAGCATTTCGTTATTGGTTAATTTCCTCTTCTTTGCTTATGACTTTCTATGATATTCGGTTACATTTTCTTTCTATCTTTCATCTTACTGCTTTGTATCTTGTGTACATGTGAGACATGGGAATCCGAATCGTAGCGCAACATGACTCCAGGTCTCATGTTGATATTGACTTGAATGCGACACGTTTTTGAAACGAAGTGTTAAGAAGTAGTCTGATACTATGGATAAATTGTTCTCAATGAAGTGCTGTCTTCCTGATATATTTTGGTCATACACATTATTATGGTTAGTTTTTGTTAAACTCTGATCCATCTGACGTATATAATCTAAGCGTAATTCGAAAACAATGTGTAAGTCTATAGCTTCTGATAGCGAGCTACTCTCTCCGTTGCCGTCACGTCATCTGTTTCTTGGGAGAAGCATAAATGGGTGGAAAAGTAATTTAATGCTCTCAAAAGTTATATATTCTCGAATTTCGCTAGTCGAAGTAAGCCTTAATTTGCTTTACCCTATCGCATATCCATCCATATCAACATAAGACCAGGCATTACTGCGTAACGGTCCCACTTGCCACACCTCATATCAGTGCATCAAGTAAAACGACAGTGAAGTGGTAGCTGAAGAAAAGAAAATTCACTCAATAGAGATATAAAGTACTTAAAGAGAGAAAGGAAGAATGAGAAATTGGTGAGATTCGGTATAGTGTTAAGATGAAAATAATGTGCGTATACATCTGCGCCACTGACATCGGTTCTGAGCGATGTGACTACCTAGAGTCTCGAAGCAGTGGTTCCTCTTGTCCAGCGGACCCCAGCCGGGTAGTCTACATTGTCCTACATGGCTCAAACCAACAGTCAAAGACTTCATACATTGATGTCATGTTTTAATCTGGCCACCTCTTATCTTTTTTGAGCCTGGACCTACTTCGTCCAACATTGTGTGACGAGGCGATCGGCGACTTGGCATACGTGACACATGTCCGAACCATCTCCTCAGTCGACGAAGTTTCACAAGCGTGTCAACTGACTTACCTCTTTTCCCTAAAAGTCTACATTTGACTTGTGCGTTACTCACGTGGTGTGGTGACACCACGGAATACGGTCTATATCACGAAGGCGAGGATGGTCAAACACCTGAAGCCTTCTCATATGTTCTATCCTGAATGGGCACATTTCACAGCCATACACTAGAAGAGAGCTTACTGGTGTGAATGTGCAGTACACGTGACCCTTAATAAATAATCGGATATGATTGTGGTGCCACTGTATCGCATATTGATTATCATTGATTTTTTTCCCTTAGGTTCGTCGTGTAATGTAGGGCTTGAGTAGCACGTCTCCATTTCACTCTCTTCTCGGCCGTCGTTTCAACCTGGCTCCATAAGCTTTTAATCCTTCCTCGTGTGATACCCTCCATCTGACATTCGGATACCCAACTCGTCGTTTCCCATTTGGATTCCAGTCGACGGCCTGGCTTGGCGCGTGATGTCTTCGAATGGTCTTCTCAATGTATGCCCAATCCACCTCCATCTCCACTTTCTTCTGCATATTTGTTAGGTGATAGGTTGTTGTTTGGTGGGTTGGTTGGTTGGCAGTCAGCCAGAGTTCCTTGTTGCTTATTCTTATTATTGTAGTCATCTGAGCTTCAGTAACGAACCGGTGTAGGCAGTTGTTGATGGAATGTCAGTAGTTTGTTGGAAATGCTTTTCATCACGCGCCAAGTTTGTGAACCATATAGAAGCACTATCTTGCTGTGTTTTCAATCGTGTCTTTGACGTCTTCATCTGTGCCGCCGCTCCTGTAGTTGAAACGATGTTGCCTAGACAGGTAGGTGAAAGAGACTACTTGCTTTAGATTTCTCCCGTTGATGATGATTGGTGCTGTTTGTTGTTGTTGATGTTATTGTTGGTTGGTTATCTTCATCACCTCTGTCTTATCTACTTTCAGGTGAAGGAAGCCTCGTCTTCTCTGTCCTGCCTATTCCATCAACTTGTTGGTTTTCGCCTGTAGATCGTGGAGCTTGTGCGACAAGATATTAGACATAAATCATCATCGTTGGCGAAATGCAAATCTTCTTCTATAGTGTTTTCAACGGTCGAGTCAGTGGATGTCCATCTTCCCACAGCTCCTCACAGTTTCAGCATGATCTAGTCGAGTCGAGTTGAGTTTAGTTGAGTTGAATCAGGAATATCATTGATGATAGTGGGTGGCAGCCTTATCTTACTCCTGTCTTCACTTGACTTGACTTCATAGGGATGACTACACTTTGTATTGTGAATCACTTGGTATACGCCGTAATCATATTGTTGTTGAATGATGTTGATAAAGGTTTGTGGTACTAAAACCGTAGTAGTGTTGAAGCAGCTGCTACCAAATTACTTGTTTGTCGACGCTGTCGAAGACTTTTAAAAATCGATGAAGTTGAGGTGTAAGGTAAAGAGTTGACTGTTATTGTATAGTCTGTTGGTTCTATGATGATGCGTAGTTTAGTGTTGGCATTTGATCTGCACATGATTTTTTTTGTTGAAGGCAGGGAGGCAGGTAGGCAGGCAGCGTGTTTCGGTGGTTATTTTGAATCTGGAGCATTTTTTAGTCTCTTTAGGATGATGCGGCATGATATTTGGTTTGTGTTGACAGGTGTGGAGCATGATTCCTCTCAGTTCCTGCAGATTTAGATCTGCCTTATTTGAAATTTTGACAAGATTCCCAATCTTCCAATTCATCAGCAGGAAACTTTCTTTTCCTCCTTCCTTGCACACCTTCTGAAGTAGAAATGTGAGCATGTCAGCTGCTGATGTCTCTGCATCTGTTTTCACTCCTTCTGTCGGAATTCCATATGGTCCTGCTGCTTTCCCGGATTTCAGCAACTTTATGGCATTCACGACTTCACAAATGCTTTTGTCAGACGGCTTGTGTTCACTGGTAGTTCTATGGTTGCTGGTGATATTTGTGGACGAGTAACAGGTGGTGGTGGTGATGGTCGATTGAACAGCTTTCTGAAGTGGTCAGCCCATTGTTTCCTCTAATTCTCCTCTTTGGTGGTAACTAGGTTTCGTCACTATCTCTCATTGGTTTCATCTGCGTTGATCTCTTCCAGATCTCCCAGATAGCAGTAGCCTCGTTATTTGATATATAATGTTATCACGTCTCTGTCTCTCCCCTACCTGAAGCCTGTTCTGTTCTGCTTCACTTGCCAGTGTGTCATAGGAGTGTGTCCTTTGTCTTTCGTGCACTCGTCTTCACTTCTTTGTCCAGTGTAGTGTTCTATAGGTGGTAGGTTGTGTTCAAATCCTCTTCTCGTTGTTCGTCCCTGCACTCCACTCCACTCCACTGGTTCATCTTCGCCTTTGCCTTCACCATCATCATCATCATCTTCTTCTTCTTCTTCCTTTCCCTGCTCTACCACCTTCCACGTATTCGTCGACATCCATTCCTTGACTTCTTTCTTCTTCATTCCTAACACGGTTATGCAGGTTTCTTCCACATAGCTTTCAAACAATTCCAGTGTTGTTCCATGCAGCATGCAGGTTCCTTCACCATTGTTGACTAATGTCTCCCATTATGTCCTCATCACTGGCTGACGTGAAAATATCCCTCTCAGTTTCATCCTTCAGTTCAGTTTGTGTTCTCGGTGTTCAACTTCAACTGTGGTTGTCTATCACCAACTTCTGTGAAGGCTTTCAACTTGATTTTGAAGGTAGGTTCCTTGCACTAGATAGTGGGTGGTGTGAATCACCTTCATCTGATGTTGTGTCCAGTAGGCTGGCTGCGTCTCCACTTTCTTCACATTGAGTTGAAGTCGATCTGATGTTTAGTGCAGTGTGTGTGTGTGTGTGTGTGTGATGTCTGGTGAAATTCATGTCGGTCACTTTGTTAATATGCTTGTGCTTGAACACAGTGCCTCTCCTCCAATCACCAAATCGTTGAATGTGCGAAGTCTGTAAACAGTTCTCCATTCTCACTCATCATTTCACCGAGTGCTTCTCCTGTGTTATCCTCTCCAAGTTTGGTATTCATGCCACGTCACCCATTAGAATTTGATGTCGACAACTGAGGTGGGTCTTGTCTAGTAGTGATTGCAGTTGTCTGAAGCATGCCTTCTCCTTCTCTTGTTGTGCGTCTGCATTATTTGTAGGTGCTTAGCGTATTGTAGTGTAGTGAAGTGTATCATTATATGGTTGTGACTTTCTTTCCTTTTGAGTTGAATCTTGCTGTCATGATCTGATGCTGCACGAGGAGGAGATTGGTTCCCACTGCATGAGACAGACAGACAGAGAGAGAGAGAGCCTTCGATGCTGGTGAAGGGGATATGATGATATCCACTGTGAAACTCAGTGTGCTCGTGGTTGTTGTGTGGGTGAGAATATCGGAGTAGATTATTGACTCCTGTGCAGTTGACAGTTGAGAGAGTCCACTTGCATTCTATCTGCTGATTCCTCGCAGATTCCTAGCACCTCTACTCCATACCTTGTCATTTGTTTTGCAATCTGGGCAGCTTTGCCAGCAGCCAGCCAGCCAGCCACTTCAAACATTGTTCGGACATTCTATGTCTCTGTGCCTATTTTCGCTCTCATCGAGAGAAGAGAAGACACATTGGGTAATTGGCTGTCCAAGGTCTTCACCAACTGGTGTCATTTCGTGTGTGCAATTCTAGGGAGGAATAAGTTTGTTTATATGTTTTATATTTTCTTTGTGGTTTGAAGTTTGTTTAGCGATTGGATTGGTTTACGGGGTATGGTAGGGTTGCTAGCCCTGTGTTGAACTTTCTCTGTTTATCGGGGCTTAGGACCGGCTAGTAACTAGTGAACTAGTTAATCAGGCGAGGTTTGTACCACACAATACAGATTATATAATTCAACTAAAATACCAGTAATCATACTGCAATCATAATAATATAATCCAGCTTCTGATAGTTAACTGCATACATTTTAAGATTTCGAGTACTGATGTTACTGACGTATAATTAGTAGCTGTCACGGAAAGCGAACATATATATTTGCTAAGACGAAACTAGATCATGTTACATTAAGCTGAAATATAAGCTAAGCTGTTTCCTCCATTGATTGTGTATTTGTGTGTATGTGTGTTTATTATGGTTATTTGTGACGGAAAAGCCTTCTATGGTTTCCTTTCCAGTTTTTCTTTGTATGAGAATCATTCTTGTCAGAATGAGTGTAGTCTACATTGTCTGGGATAACCTTGGCTGGCATATCGATCCGTATGTTTGCGATGCATTATTATAGTTGATAGAAAGCTTCCTTTTCAACGACTTGAAGTCAACTGGATACCTAGTTAACAATTAGATATTATAGCTAAGTCGATAGAATACGGTACCGGTAACTAGAATACCACTGATTTGGATTGCTTCTGTGTAGTGAACTAATCTTTCTTTCATCTGCAATCATTATCCCGCTTACATTAACGTCAATATTATCCTTATCGGGTCAATCTCATTTGGTTTAGTTAACAGTCAAACGGTAGTTCCACTCTCTTAATATAACTTAATTTCAACTGGAATTGGGTATATCCAGTGGATAATAATCAATTAAATGGTGAGTATCATATCTCCATATAAAACAAAACTCACTTAGTCACCTTTGCATATCCGTGCAGTAGACAATGAGCCATACCTATAGTATGCGGTTAGTCAAACCTCAATAGGTGGAAATGGGGTTCGAACCCATGATCTACTCTTTGATAGTCATCTCCCTTAACTACTGAGTCATAAGTCAGGTGGAAAGTTAAAACATGGTTGTTTCTTTTATGCGTTTTTGAAAGCATTTGTCTAACTTCTATTGTCCATTGATTCAGTGGATGATTGAAATCAGTTCCATAAAGTAGTTAAGATCTATGCTCACCATAATGTTTCTTTGAGAATAGCTTATATGCTGATTTTTATTCTCTCCTCATTTTTTTTTCTGTTATGATTAATCAATCAATTGATTAAGGTGCACTGATTGGTGGTCGTGTCGGTTATGCTAATGCAGATGATGAATGTGATGGTGAATTAATTTGTCGTGTATTACAATTGACACGGTTAACTGCAAACTTTATCACATCGAATACTTCGTCAGTATTAACTAATCATACAAACGTTATACTAGTGACTCAATCACCAAGTATGATACGATTAGAATTGGCTGTATTAAGATTTTTTGAACAACTTCGACGTATTTACGTTGGTGAAAATGTTGGCAGATTGTCTAAGGTAAGATTGCTTAAACATTGACTTATTAAAAATAAATTTTTAATTGTTTATTTATACTGAGTAATGATTGAGGTGAAGTGAAAATTTCGACTGGCGACCGGACTTGAACTAACAACAACCGAGTTTCTGGCCCGATACTCTTCCAACTGAGCTACAAGGTCCAAATGTTGATCAACAGTTGACTAGGCAGCCAGTGTGAGGACGATCAAGCGACAGTAACGCATTACGAATTGATATGGTAGCTGAACGAAACCCTTGGTGATTGAAGTGAAACAAAAATCCAGTCAGGAGTCGGATCTCGTAGCTCAATCGGTAGAGCATTGAGCCGGAAATCTAGTGGTCGCTGGTTCTAACCCGGTTGCGGTTCAAATTATCATTTCACCTTCAATCATCACCCAGTATAAATACCTAGTCTGCCAAACTACGACTACCTCAGATGATCAAAATGATAATTGTTTATTTGTGAATGTTCTTCATGTTTTACACTGTCTTGTTCCCTAACCTTACATATTGCTCACGCTCATTTCATTTTTGCTGAGCTTTAGACTATATCTCTGTTGATTCTGCTAATACTTTACATTCAAGTTAAGGTGAAACAGCTAAATGATCTGATTACATACATCATAGGCGCGTGGAGTTGTGGAACATTGATTTAGGAAGATGACTATCAATCATTTAATCATGGATTTGAACCCCACTCCACCTACTAATTTTATTATTATTATTATTAGTCCCTTGGGTTCCTAGTGGAATATAGGGCTTCAGTAGCACGTCTCCAGTGACCTCTGTTCTCTGAGATCTTTAGAACCTGGTTCCACGACAGCCCAGAAGCTCTCATTTCCTCCTCGTACGACCTCCTGCATGTCACCCTCACCTCGGACGTCCAACTCGTCGCTTCCCATGGGGATTCCACTCGAGCAACTGGCGTGACGCGTGATGTCCTCAGTCGGCCTTCTCAGTGCATGCCCAATCCATCTCCACTTCCTCCTGCATATTTGTTGGGTGATAGGTTGTTGGTTGGTTCGTTCCCAGAGCACCTTGTTGCTTATTCTTTCTGGCAATCCATCTGATCTTGAGTAGCGAGCCAGCGTAAGCAGTTGTTGATGAATGTCTGTAGTTTATTGGAAATCCCTTTCGTACCTACTAATATAGTGGGAGAATATTTGTAGCTCAGGTGGATTGTCCTAGTTGTATTGTTTTCTTTGAGAAGCTGGATTGTTGTTTAATCATGAAGCTTTCATCGTCTTGCCAGACACCGATATATCTGTTCAGTACAAAGTTGATGAAAACGCAGGGTCTGAAGAAATATATAGTAATGAGAGATAATGAGATGGCTAACAGCAAACAGCTTTATGAAAATCGAAATTAAAGATCGTAAGATATTTTTGTCTTGTAGCCAGTTTGTAACTGATGTATGTAGGTGGCGAGTTTTTTGGTGCCTAGAATGGAACTGAGATACAATGCAGTACAACACCTCACAGTTTGACTTTTAATGATCTAATGTAAAATCTCGAACGCTAGACTCTTCGATTACTGAGAGGCCTAAGAAATGGACAGCCATATTAGCAGCTACTTGACTGTCACTAATCTGCTTTCATATATCACTCAGCTAGCTACCTTATACATATTCATGCAGTAGTAAACAATGTAGCTAATGATACCACTCTACCTGACTGACTACGTAAACGTCGGTAGGTGGAGTGGTGCTCAAACTTGTGATCCACTGGATGAAAGTTAACTTCTGAAACCAGTGTGAGCCACAACTCCATAATGTCTTTTCATAGAGTATGTTCGAATAACTTTAAAGCGGCCACCTTAGAAATTGAGATAACCAATAACGATTCTTTATTTTATAAAATGCTAGTTATCTATCTAGGCGGAATACTGAAAAGTCGTAGGTTATTTTAGCTGTTGTTAAGGTGGTCTAAAAGTCATTCATTATTCGTGCCCTAAATCGCTCAGTTGTAAAGTCTGACTTTAGAGACCGCCCTAGTAACAACTCAAATAACCAATCAAACTTCTCTATTTTATGAAAATCTGCTTCTCGTGCCGGAATGAAGAAGACTAATTAGTTATTTCGATCCTTGTTATGTTGGCTTTTAAAGTCACCTCAATTCGATGCATTGGGTTTGAATTTTGAAGTGACTTTAAAGGCCATTGTAGCAACGATCGAAATAACCAATTAGATTTCTCCATTTTGGCTAGAAAGGCGGATTGTCATAAAATAAAGATTTCTAATTGGTTGCTCCGGTTTGTGACCTTTAGACTGACCCTTTGAAGGCCATTCCAGCCACTGCCAAAATAACCAATCAGGTTTCAGTATTCCTTCCAGAAGGGTGGTTTTTCAAAAAAAAGGGGAAAGGTAGTTGGTTATCTCAGTAGTTTCTTAGGTGACTTTTAAAATATTGGAGTGACTTTTGTACGCCACCTTAGCAACAACTGAAACATCACTAACTTGATTTCTTTATTCATTTTAGAGATTTAGATTTCTTCAAAATCAACAAACCTAATTGGTTATTTCAGTTGTTGTTGTTAGAGTGAACTTTAAAGTCACCCTTACAATTATCTTAGGGGTGGAGTTGTGACTCATTGGTTTCAGAGTTTTACTTTTGAGCAGTTGATAATGCTGAATTTAAATCACAATCTAGGTAATTCGATCCCGGTAATAGGGAAGTGGAATAAACTGTCTTACACAACAGATGTAACTCATAGCCTAGTGAATAAACATATGTGTACGTATTAGGATAAGTTAAATTCGGATCCTTTGAAACTGGTATATTCTACAGCGGACTGAAGAATTCAAAACCGGTATCTCAGATAAGCTTCATCTACTGTATTATTTTATTTAATCTTGAAGACACTTTACTGAAGACTTATACTTTGTAGTATTATTATTGTATAGCTCAACTTATGAGCTTTTTAGTGACTCTTTCCTCATATGCGTGCAATTTATGATTCTCAAATAAATTGTTTATTAAGTGAGATCAGCTATTGTTCAGTATCTCCATTTTCCATACATGCAATTCAGTTGTATATATAAATGACATGTTATATATAATAGGATGGGGGTAATAAGACGTTATTCTTTATCATCTGCTTTACAGTAAGAGAGGAAGGAAAACTCACGTCTTCAGTTCCGTTAGTGCCTCTCATAGGTATCGAGAAGGAGAGGGAACATAGTCAAGAGGAGTGATACTTATACAGTGAGTCACGTGACAGTGTCAGAGTTGGCTGAATTTAAAGACCACTCTAGCATCTGCTGAAGAAACCAATCAGGTTTTAGTGTTTTGGCTGGAAGATGGTAATTGGTAATCTTAACGGTTGTTAGTTTAACCTTCAAAGTCATTCATCAGAGTTGTAGTTTCTAGTTGTCATTTCAAACAATCACTGATATCAAGGCATATCAGTTTATTCGTCTTTATTATAACAGAATGCAATGGCCTGTCTATCCGTTCACTGATCATATTTAAGGGTTAATGTTACTACCTGTCTGTGTGAACTTCAATTGGATAAGAAATGATAACTGTATGGCTGATTGTTGAGACTAAGAAGCCACAAGTCTATTGAAGCTTTACAACAAGGTAAGGAGTTTATGGTATTCACTCAAAGTCCCCACTCAGGTGATATGAGGCGTTGATTTCACAATTCTGATAGACAGACAGAAATCATAGGAAAGTACCAGCAATGGGTAAAGATTCTCCCCAGAGAAACGCAAGAGAATATGTGTGCGTATTTAAGAGAAAATCTAAATAGAAGTAGAAAAGGAAATGAAGAACATTATGAGAATGACTGTCTTATTGAAAGGTGTACAATGTTTGATGACTGCTGAACTACAAGATTTCAACAATCAACATTCCTTCCTTCGTCTAATTCTTGTTGTTCTCTATAATAACTGTAAGAAATAGTCGCTATGTGAAGAATATTTGTAGCTCAGGTGGATTGTCCAGGTTATATTATATTCTGTGAGCAGCTGGGTTGTTAAATCGTGAAGCTTTCATCGTCTTGCCAGACACCGACATCATCAGCACTAACTTCAGTATGAAGTAGTGAGCTGTCAATATCTCTCCATGAGTAGTGATTTAGTGGCTTCCTCTGACGAAGTAGTCTATGATTGATTGTTTCCTTTGATTGTTGGTATCATTGACTGACTACATATATTTTCATGTTGGCTGTTCCTCTGGTGGATCTATTGATTGCTGACTGATTGACCTGAATGGCGAGCTTCTAGGAATTCTCTAATGATGTTCTTTGTGTTTCCTCTCTCCATCCAAGATGTCTACATTGTGGAAATTGAATTCATGTGCACAGTGGTTATCCATGTGTGTTGAAATGAGTGATGAAATGTTGTGATGTTTAACAGGTAATTGGTGTTGATGTAGACGAAGGTGAAGAGGGCGACCACTTTGTCCAGTATTGTGTTGACTACAGTTATTTCACTTGGTTTTAAAGTTGATCTACAAAATTAAGTGAAATAACTGTAGTCAACACAATACTGGACAAAGTGGTCGCCCTCTTCACCTTCGTCTACATCAACACCAATTACCTGTTAAACATCACAACATTTCATCACTCATTTCAACACACATGGATAACCACTGTGCACATGAATTCAATTTCCACAATGTAGACATCTTGGATGGAGAGAGGAAACACAAAGAACATCATTAGAGAATTCCTAGAAGCTCGCCATTCAGGTCAATCAGTCATCAATCAATAGATGTATAGACATAGAACCCTATCTATCAATCAATAAGAAAAATGATAAACGACAGGAAGGTCAGAGGTGAAGCAGAGGAACAGTCAACATGAAAGTGTATATGCAGTCAGTCAATGACACCAACAATCAAAGGAAACAACCAATCATAGACTACTTCGTCAGAGGAAGCCACTAAATCACTACTCATGGAGAGATATTGACAGCTCACTACTTCATACTGAAGTTAGTGTTGATGATGTCGGTGACTGGCAACACGATGAAAACTTCATGATTAAACAACAACCCAGCTCCTCAGAGAAAACAATACAACCAAGATAGTTGTTATGTATAAGAATTCAAATCACTTTAGAAAAATTCATTTGTAATTGATTACTAGTGATAACTTTTTCCCCTCTCATTATTTCATTGTTTGTTTTATTCTCTTTTGAAAAAGTTTTATCAGTATTTATCAGATAAATTAGGTATCTCAGATGAAATGATGTTACTCGGTGTATTTACAAATAAAATTTTAACAAATTTAAAATATTGGAGTAATTGTGAAGCCATTCTTCAACGAACATTGAATTTACTCTCTGAATTATCAATGGGTTTCAGTGCTATGCGTAAACTTTTACGCCTTGATGATATACAATTTATACTTGCTAATCATACAGTAAGTTTTTTTCTTTAATGTATAAAGTGAATAAATATCAGTTACATTGATTGATTCAGACTAGACTGTAGAATGTTGTAATGAGATGATTTACATTCATTATTATAAGGATTGATGACTGATGAAATCTGAAGTGATTTTTCATCTTTATATGTGTGTGTGTGTGTGTTTGAGGTCTAGGAACCCCCTACCTAAGAGAAGAACATTACTCAACCATTTGGTCAAGGTTTTTTTCTTTTCTAGTATATGAAAGTATAACAAGAAATCTTATGATGATGTTGTTATATTCTCTCAAGTGTGTGTGTGTGTGTGTGTGTGTGTGTGTGTGTTGATGATGTTGTTTAAACTGACACAGTTAAAGTTTCACAATTGAAATTGTCCAACTCTTAGACAATACAACATCATCAAGATCATCCTGGTGATTATTATTATTTATTATTAGTCCCTTGGGTTCCTAGTGGAATATAGGGCTTCAGTAGCACGTCTCCAGTGACCTCTGTTCTCTGAGATCTTTTGAACCTGGTTCCACGACAGCCCAGAAGCTCTCATTTCCTCCTCGTACGACCTTCTCCATGTCACCCCCAGCTGGGACGTCCAACTCATCGCTTCCCCTGGGGATTCCACTCGAGCAACTGGCGTGACGCGTGATGTCCTCAGTCGGCCTTCTCAGTGCATGCCCAATCCATCTCCACTTCCTCCTGCATATTTGTTGGGTGATAGGTTGTTGGTTGGTTCGTTCCCAGAGTTCCTTGTTGCTTATTCTTTCTGGCAATCCATCTGATCTTGAGTAGCGAGCCAGCGTAAGCAGTTGTTGATGAATGTCTGTAGTTTATTGGAAATCCCTTTCGTGACGCCATCCTGGTGATGGAAAGTATTAATTAACAAGATAACTGAAAAAGGCGAACAAATGTTGAAGTCTTATTAATACTTCTTTCAGCAATATATCACATTCTATAGATTGTATATTAACTACGGAATACACTCATTTATTTGATTATAGGAAAAGACACGATATAGTTACAGGGAAGAAAGTTTTTTCTTTTGCACAAAGTCTTTTACTAAGCTATACATTCATCAAAATATGTTACAATGAGCAGAACGTCCCAGAATTATTCTCTGTTAAAGAGTTAATTAACTTGGTGTGTCACGAAAAGCATTTCCAACAAACTACAGACACGCGTCATCAACAGCTACCTGTGCTCGTTGCTTAAGATCACATGGATGACTAGAAGGAATAATAAGCAACAAGGAACTCTGGCGATGAACCAACCAAGAACCTAGTGCTCAACAGATATACAGAAGGAAGTGGAGATGGAGGTGGATTGGGCATACACTGAGAAGGTCGACTGGGGACATCACGTTCCACGCCAAGTCATCCAGTGGAATCTAAATGGGGAACTGCTAGTTGGGCATCCGACTGTGGGTGACATAGAGGAGATCATGTGAAGAAGAAATGAAAGCCTGTGGGCAGTTGTGGAGCGAGATTCGAAAGATTGCAGAGAAGAGAGTGCAATGGAGGCGTCAGTAACATCAGTACTCGAAATCTTAAAATGTATGCAGTTAACTATCAGAAGCTGGATTACATTATTATGATTGCAGTATGATTACTGGTATTTTAGTTGAATTATATAATCTGTATTGTGTGGTACAAACCTCGCCTGATTAACTAGTTCACTAGTTACTAGCCGGTCCTAAGCCCCGATAAACAGAGAAAGTTCAACACAGGGCTAGCAACCCTACCCTACCCCGTAAACCAATCCAATCGCTAAAGAAACTTCAAAGCACAAAGAAAATATAAAACATAAAAACAAACTTATTCCTCCCTAGAATTGCACACACGAAATGACACCAGTTGGCGAAGACCTTGGACAGCCAATTACCCAATGTGTCTTCTCTTCTCTCGATGAGAGCGAAAATAGGCACAGAGACATAGAATGTCCGAACAATGTTTGAAGTGGCTGGCTGGCTGGCAAAGCTGCCCAGATTGCAAAACAAATGACAAGGTATGGTGTCGAGGTGCTAGGAATCTGCGAGGAATCAGCAGATAGAATGCAAGTGGACTCTCTCAACTGTCAACTGCACAGGAGTCAATAATCTACTCCGATATTCTCACCCACACAACAACCACGAGCACACTGAGTTTCACAGTGGATATCATCATGTCCCCTTCACGAGCATCGAAGGCTCTCTCTCTCTCTGTCTGTCTGTCTCATGCAGTGGGAACCAATCTCCTCCTCCTCGTGCAGCATCAGATCATGACAGCAAGATTCAACTCGAAAGGAAAGAAAGTCACAACCATATAATGATACACTTCACTACACTACAATACGCTAAGCACCTACAAATAATGCAGACGCACAACAAGAGAAGGAGAAGGCATGCTTCAGACAACTGCAATCACTACTAGACAAGACCCCACCTCAGTTGTCGACATCAAATTCTAATGGGTGACGTGGCATGAATACCAAACTTGGAGAGGATAACACAGGGAGAAGCACTCGGTGAAATGATGAGTGAGAATGGAGAACTGTTTACAGACTTCGCACATTCAACGATTTGGTGATTGGAGGAGAGGCACTGTGTTCAAGCACAAGCATATTAACAAAGTGACCGACATGAATTTCACCAGACATCACACGCACACACACACACACACTGCACTAAACATCAGATCGACTTCAACTCAATGTGAAGAAAGTGGAGACGCAGCCAGCCTACTGTACACAACATCAGATGGTGATTCACACCACCCACTATCTAGTGCAAGGAACCTACCTTCAAAATCAAGTTGAAAGCCTTCACAGAAGTTGGTGATAGACAACCACAGTTGAAGTTGAACACCGAGAACACAAACTGAACTGAAGGATGAAACTGAGAGGGATATTTTCACGTCAGCCAGTGATGAGGACATAATGGGAGACATTAGTCAACAATGGTGAAGGAACCTGCATGCTGCATGGAACAACACTGGAATTGTTTGAAAGCTATGTGGAAGGAAACCTGCATAACCGTGTTAGGAATGAAGAAGAAAGAAGTGAAGGAATGGATGTCGACGAATACGTGGAAGGTGGTAGAGCAGGGAAAGGAAGAAGAAGAAGATGATGATGGTGATGATGGTGAAGGCAAAGGCGAAGATGAACCAGTGGAGTGGAGTGAAGTGGAATGCAGGGACGAACAACGAGAAGAGGATTTGAACACAACCTACCACCTATAGAACACTACACTGGACAAAGAAGTGAAGACGAGTGCACGGAAAGACAAAGGACACACTCCTATGACACACTGGCAAGTGAAGCAGAACAGAACAGGCTTCAGGTAGGGGAGAGACAGAGACGTGATAACATTATATATCAAATAACGAGGCTACAGCTATCTGGGAGATCTGGAAGAGATCAACGCAGATGAAACCAATGAGAGATAGTGACGGAAACCTAGTTACCACCAAAGAGGAGAATTAGAGGAACAATGGGCTGACCACTTCAGAAAGCTGTTCAATCGACCATCACCACCACCACCTGTTACTCGTCCATAAATATCACCAGCAACCATAGAACTACCAGTGAACACAAGCCGTCTGACAAAAGCAGTAGTGAAGTCGTGAATGCCATAAAGTTGCTGAAATCCGGGAAAGCAGCAGGACCATATGGAATTCCTCCAGAAGGAGTGAAAACAGATGCAGAGACATCAGCAGCTGACATGCTCACATTTCTACTTCAGAAGGTTTGCAAGGAAGGAAGGAAGGAAGGGAGGAAAGGTACCTGCTGATGAATTGGAAGATTCGCAACCTTGTCAAAATTCGAAATAAGGCAGATCTAAATCTGCAGGAACTGGAGAGGAATCATGCTCCACACCTGTCAACACAAACCAAATATCATGCCGCATCATCCTGAAGAGACTAAAAAATGCTCCAGATTCAAAATAACTACCGAAACACGCTGCCTGCCTACCTGCCTCCCTGCCTTCAACAAAAACAATCATGTGCAGATCAAATGCCAACACTACACTACACATCATCATAGAACCAACAGACTATACAATAACAGTCAACTCTTTACCTTACACCTCAACTTCATCGATTTTTAAAAGTCTTCGACAGCGTCGACAAACAAGTAATTTGGTAGCAGCTGCTTCAACACTACTACGATTTTAGTACCACAAACCTTTATCAACATCATTCAACAACAATATGATTACGGCGTATACCAAGTGATTCACAATACAAAGTGCAGTCATCCCTATGAAGACAACTCAAGTGAAGACAGGAGTAAGATAAGGCTGCCACCCACTATCATCAATGATATTCCTGATTCAACTCAACTAAACTCAACTCGACTCGACTAGATCATGCAGAAACTGTGAGGAGCTGTGGGAAGATGGGCATGTACTGACTCCACCGATGAAAACACTATAGAAGAAGATTTGCATTTCGCCAACGATGATGGTTTATGTCTAATATCTTGTCGCACAAGCTCCACGATCTACAGGCGAAAACCAACAAGTTGATGGAATAGGCAGGACAGAGAAGACGAGGCTTCCTTCACCTGAAAGTAGATAAGACAGAGGTGATGAAGATAACCAACCAACAATAACATCAACAACAACAAACAGCACCAATCATCATCAACGGGAGAAATCTAAAGCAAGTAGTCTCTTTCACCTACCTGTCTAGGCAACATCGTTTCAACTACAGGAGCGGCGGCACAGATGAAGACGTCAAAGACAGGATTGGAAAGAGAGGAAGATGTTCCTTCCTTCAATAATCTGAAATGAAATCATTGGGGAGATCCACTATAGTCAGCATGAAGCGTGAGAAACATCCGGATTTTTATCATTAACGTCGGTCAAGTCAGTTCGCCTATGTGATGTTTGAGAGACTTGGGGCGCTACGTAGAACATTTGAAGAAACTGAAGACATACATCATCAGCTGCAGCCTACACTCACTCGATACTGAAGATCAGATGGATGGCCAGAATAATGAGAATAAGAAAGAAGGAACTCTCTCGCTGTGATTAGCTAAACAAGGATCTATCGCTCAACAAATATGCAGAAGAAAGTGGAGATGGAGGTGGATTGGGCATACATTGAGAAGACCATTCGAAGACATCACGCGCCAAGCCAGGCCGTCGAGTGCAATGCAAATGGGAAACGACGAGTTGGCGTCCAAGCTTGACGTGGAGGTGATCATGTGAAACCTATGAACAAATATATGTATTATGCACGACAATATGTGATACATGAAGAAGATATATTCAGAAGATCAAAACAAATGGAAGGGGAATAATTTTATGTAATTTATTAAATGGAAAATGTTTGGCAACTCAAAGTTGAAGGTTATCGCCTCCAGCCAATTAGGTTCGATATTTAAATGTGTAGCGTACTATACAGAAAGCGGGTAGAATGTATTTTATGCCGTAGTCAATAATAACTGAACTGCACTCGTATGTGTATCTAAAGTCAAAACACTATGACTACTTCACTCTTTCATCTGTTTGCAGAATGTAGTGCAAGAACCAGAAAACATTTAACAGATAGGAAGCGTATCGAACAGTATTATGAAGAAAAGTACATTGTATGGATCGAAATGCATACATCAGCCTTGTCCACATTCATGTAGTTGACAGTGAACTACACCACTTATGTGAGAACTAGTGATACTACCTGGCTACCCAAACCTCGATAGGTGGAAAAGGGCTCGAACTTGTGACCCGTCGGTTGAAAGTCATCTCCCTAAGTTAATGAACCACAACTCCGTGCGATATATGACTTGAGTCCTAAAAGAGAATGAGGTGTGTAGACAAGAAAGATATATATAATCGATCAGTTCTTGCAGTTACTATATAGTGAAACTCCCTATCTGTTTCCAACTGTAGTTAATCCATTAAGTAGTACTGTTATATTGCCCATAATTACCACTAAGTCTAATTCTACAAATCATTTATTGATTACTAATGTATAACCTCATATTCTATTGAATTTAATATATATTTATTTTAGCCGGAATATTTCCCATTTCTGCTGGCAACAACTACAACTGCAGTTTCACAGTCATCAACAATTTCCCGACTACGTACAACATTCTATGCTTCAATTTCACGTTTATTGATGGTTGAATTAGGTGAAGATGAAGAACAATTCTTAAATTTTGTATCCCCGTTAACTAGAGTTACTAATCAATTAATTATAGCTATCTTATCCGGAGGTTAGTTAAAGCTAAGCTAATGAGATAATTACATTTTTATTTTGCTGGCTTTCTTGCGTATAACTGAATTGTTGAAGGTCTACAAAATCGATTCAACTGTGACAACTTATTAGGAATATGCGCTTCAGCAACCTTCAAGTAAGATATAATCAGTATTGAAGGAGACAGTGATTTGTATCTGATTTGATATGATCATACTCTGCAATATTTCACTCTCACCTAATCTCTAAAGCTATATAGACATACTACTTGAAAGTAGAAAGTATGAAGATGTTAAAGATTTTCAATGATAGCCTTACTCGCATGGTAGAACGACAAACTGAACAATTAGGTGATTCAGTCAATGAGTGAAGCTGTGAACCTCATCTATTCAGATGACGTGACTTGGATATGTGTTACACATACCGAGTTGCCGTCTACCTTGGCATACCATGATTACTTTAAAAAAAAACCAAAGGATAATAAAAATAAAACGTTTGACTTATCCATTAAGTTTTTAAGTGTCGATTTAAGCCATTTATGATAGTCTGAATTGCTATTGTGAAGTGTAACAGTTTGAATTGGAACCTTTCCAGGTGAGACCTGCTAATGGTTATTACTACATTCAGGAGAAGGCGGGATGGCATTCAAATCCCGTAGCTTAGTAGTTGAATTTTGTTTGTCTAAAACAGTCAATGGAATAAGCCATACAGGTGAAATTGGGGAATAAACTAATTAATGTATAACAGCTAATTGTTCAAGATGATATTAGAAACCAGTGAACCAATGGATCTATAAACCAAATTAAGGTGTATCAATTAACCCAACCTAAAGAATCATATTCCAGATTACCATCATTGCCTGTATTGATTCTGAGTGATGATTGAAGGTGAAGTGAAAATTTGGACTGGTGGCCGGATTCGAACAAGCGACAACCTGGTTATCGGTCTGATATTCTCCCAACTGAGCTACAAGGTCCAACTGTTGACCGGCAGCTGACCAGGCAGCCAGCGTGAGTACGATCAAGCGACAGTAACGCATTACGAATTGACATGGTGACTGAAGTGAAACAAAAATCCAGTCAGCAGTTGGATCTCGTAGCTCAATTGGTAGAGCATCGAGCCGGAAACCCAGTGGTCGTTGGTTGTAACCTGGTTGCAGCTCAAATTATCACTTCACCTTCAATCATCAACCAGCATCAATACAAGTCTGCCAAACTATGGCTTTCTCGGATACTCAGATACGTTTTGTAATCATAAGTTTGAGAACTTGATAAGGCCTTACTATACAACTGCAGGTATACATTGCTACGTTGATCCACCTTTCTGCGAGTGATATTCAGGTTAGATCAATAAATGTATTCTACGGTTAACAACTACCGCTTGGTGGGGCTATATTTTATATTCACTAACCATCCAGGCATAAAGTTACAGGTTTGAATTCCAACCTATCAGATCTTTCTGACACAGAGTCTAGTCATCACCGTCCATCAACGTAGGACCAGACATAATTGTGTAACAGTTCGAGTTGCCACACTTCATATCAGTACATCAAGTAAAACGACAGTGAAGTGGAAGATGAAGAAAAGAAAATTCACTCAAAAGAGATATAAAGTTCTAAAAGAGAGAAAGGTAGAATAAGAAAATGATGAGATTCGGTATAGTGTTAAGATGAGAATAATGTGTGTATACATCTGCGCCACTGACTTCGGTTCTGAGCCATATGACCACCTAGGGTCTCCAAGCAGTGGTTTCTCTTATCCGGCGAACCCCAACCGGCTAGTCTGCACCGCCCCACGTGGCTCAAATCAACAGTCAGAGACTTCATACATTGATGCCATGTTTTAGTCTTGTCGCCTCGAGCCTTTTTCCAGCTCGAACCTACTTCTTCCAACATTGTGTGACGAAGCAGACGGCGACTTGGCATACGTAACACATGTCTCAACCATCTCAGTCAACAAAGGTTCATGACATTGTCAACTGACTTACCTTTTCTCCATAAAACTCTACATGTATACTAGTACTATTGCTCAATGCAAATGCTTGTAGTCTAGAAATCAGTTTCACTTTCATTGGGACAAGTTTACAACTGTACGCTCAAAATAAAACGAAATGCAACACTTCAAATCCTCTGAACTTCTTTGACAGCAGAATGATAGAAAAAAATTAGATTCTGCCTTAGAATTAGGCATACCCGTAACATATGCTTATCTAACATAATTGTCCGACAATCCCAATAACATTCCACGAGCTGATTGTGTTATCTAGACACAATGTCGGGAGGCTATATTTTATTCCACTGACTATAGAAGCATGTTTAGGAGACAAGTCAACAATATGATGCCTGTTTCTCAGTAAGTCTGTGATTGCCTTAATATGGAGTGATGGGGAGCTCTTAGGAGTCTAGAGATGAGGTTTCAATGGCTTTGATCGTTTGCAGTGGTCGCAGAATGAGAGGATATCTTCTTGAGACCTGTTACACAGCCTTTTGTGGGTTGTTGTTTTGAGGTTTGTTCGCTCTTACGTAGGATAAAGAAAACCCATACTTATGGCACCGGAAGACTATGAGGTAGGGGGGAGTGTGCCATTTTCGCTGCCAGCCTTTTCTAACCCCCTTCTTAATAGGGAAGTAGAATCGGTGTAGCACCATTGTTCATCTAAGGCAAACACCTTACTGCTATCATACCCCAGTCAACCAGCAGTGCAACTTCACCCTCGGACTCTAATCGTAGCGTACTAATTTACACTACAACGGTAACTGCTTTTCGTCTTACCCAATAGACTTTTCTAGTATGATTAGACCTTGAGGGAACAAGCGTTTCGACCAATGTAACTCGTTGGATCATTGTGATACTGTAGCCTGACTACCATGTTATGAGTTAGTGATGTGGAGAACCTTAATAATATGATTCGGAGCTAATCAAAATCATATAGGTGTATTCTGTATTTATCTTCCTCAAAATCTTGAATATTTGGCTTGCTTCCTACCGAATAATATCTAGCTGTCTTAACCTCAATAAGTGAGGCAGGATTCGAACCTGAGACCTTATTGATTTGGATTTGAAAGCGTAGATCAGTAATGAGTCACTGTTGGACTTTTTTCTGTCTAATTTATCTCCCTTAGTTAAAAATACTTGCGTACACTCCTTTAACATACTGTAATATATTATTATTATTATTATTATTATTTCGCTTTAATTTGTTTACCTCTTTATACTTTTTAGGTCCTTCTAATTTAAGTCAAGAATTGACAAAAATTTCAATCATTGGTTTAGCTAGAGATATTCGTGGTATATCATGCAGTTTAAGTACTAAATCATCATATCAAATGTTAATGGATTGGATATATCCTAATGGTTTACAATTGTTTAGTCGTGCACTTGAATTATGGCCATTGGATTATACATTAACAGTGCCTGTATTGAAAACAATCACTGAGTTAGTTCATAATCGTAATGGACGTTTATTGTATGATACAACTGTACCAACTGGATATTTATTGTTACACATGTTAGTAAACTTTTGTGTAATTTTGGTAAGTTTTATTAGTTGATAGAATTCTTGTTTCTTGTTATTTGTAAAAATTTCGTGTTTTTTTTTCTACTTTTGTTTATGTATTACTTAAAGGATATTTTTACAACTAGCAGCGATAAGTAGTTACATTGAGGATATTAGGTGCCGGAATTTAAAAAAACAGGCCGTCATTAACCAGAAATCAATGTGGAGATCTACTGCACTGCACTCAACATAAAGAACAAGATCCAGATTTTCAACACTAATGTCAGTCAAGTCAGTGCTTCTATGTGATAGTTCAGAAACTTGACGCATTACGAAAAGCATTTCCAACAAACTACTGACATTCATCAACAGCTGTCACCTACGCTCACTCAGTACTGAAGATCAGATGACTGGCCAGACTCATAAGAATAAACAAGAAGCAACTCTGGCTGACTGCAACGACCAACCAACCAACTAAGAAGCTATCGCCCAACAATTATGCAGAAGAAAGTGGAGATGGAGGTGGATTGGGCATACACTGAGAAGACGGAATGGGAAATCACGTGGCAGGCCAGGCCGTCGAGTGGAATCTAAATGGGAAACGATGAGTTGGTCGATGGTGTCCAAGGGTGACATGGAGGAGATCATGTGAGGAAGAACTGAAAGCTACTGGGTAGTCGTGGAGCCAGGTTGAAAAGACTGGAGAGAAGAGAGTGAAATGGCGACGTGTTACTGAAGTCCTATTTTCCACTAGGAACCCAAGGGATAAATAAAACAAAACAGGGACTCTAAACATTCATTAGTAGGGGGCATGCGTCTACGTGTGTTCCTTCGTGCCTTAATAGGAACAGGAAATATACAGCAGTAAAGCTAGCCTTTTTATGATCGCTTGGAAGGTGAGAACATAAAATGTATATTGATTGAGGGGATAGCTAAGCATTTATCTAAACATAACAGTGATTGTCACTCCTATGAAAGTTGTTTATTGTAAAAACAATGGTAAAGGCAGTTGGTAATCATCAACATTCAGAGGTAAGTAGAAGTACCTTACGGATTGTTGCAAGAAGATTCATTCCTCAAACAAACACAAACAAACAATGAAATAATGAGAGGGGAAAAAGTTATCACTAGTAATCAATTACAAATGAATTTTCTAAAGTGATTTGAATTCTTATACATAACAACTATCTTGGTTGTGTTGTTTTCTCTGAGGAGCTGGGTTGTTGTTTAATCATGAAGCTTTCATCGTCTTGCCAGTCACCGACATCATCAACACTAACTTCAGTATGAAGTAGTGAGCTGTCAATATCTCTCCATGAGTAGTGGATTTAGTGGCTTCCTCTGAGGAAGTAGTCTATGATTGGTTGTTTCCTTTGATTGTTGGTGTCATTGACTGACTGCATATACACTTTCATGTTGACTGTTCCTCTGCTTCACCTCTGACCTTTCTGTGGTTTATCATTTTTCTTATTGATTGATAGATAGGGTTCTATGTCTATACATCTATTGATTGTGACTGATTGACCTGAATGGCGAGCTTCTAGGAATTCTCTAATGATGTTCTTTGTGTTTCCTCTCTCCATCTAAGATGTCTACATTGTGGAAATTGAATTCATGTGCACAGTGGTTATCCATGTGTGTTGAAATGAGTGATGAAATGTTGTGACGTTTAACAGGTAATTGGTGTTGATGTAGACGAAGGTGAAGAGGGCTATCATTTTGTCCAATGATCGCTGTTTTAAATGTCGAGTGGCGTAGGCGGCAGCTGTTGATCTTTTATGTCTGTAGTCTGTTGGGAATAATTTTCGTAATACGCTAAGTCTCTGGAACCATCAAGTAGAAGCACTGACTTGACTGAATTAGTGTTGAAAATCTGGATGTTGTTCCTCCTTACACAATCTCCTCCATGTCACCCTTGGACACCATCGACCAACTCATCGTTTCCCATTTGGGTTCCAGTCGACGGCCTGGCCTGCCGCGTGATTTCCCTTATCCGTCTTCTCAGTGTATGCCCAATCCACCTCCATCTCCACTTTCTTCTGCATAATTGTTGAGCGATAGCTTCTTAGTTGGTTGGTTGGTCGTTGCAGTCAGCCAGAGTTGCTTCTTGTTTATTCTTATGAGTCTGGCCAGTCATCTGATCTTCAGTACTGAGTGAGCGTAGGTGACAGCTGTTGATGAATGTCAGTAGTTTGTTGGAAATGCTTTTCGTAATGCGTCAAGTTTCTGAACTATCACATAGAAGCACTGACTTAACTGACACTAGTGTTGAAAATCTGGATCTTGTTCTTTATGCTGAGTGCAGTGCAGTAGATCTCCACACTGATTTCTGGTTGATGAAAACCTGTCGCGCTGTCTTTCTGATCATGTCTTTGACGTCCACATCTGTACCGCCTCTCCTGTAGTCTAAACGATGCTGCCTAGGCAGGTAAGTGAACGAGACTACTTCCTTTATATTTCTCTCGTTGATGGTGATTGGTGCTTGTTGTTGATGCTGTTGTTGGTTGGTTATCTTCATCACCTCCGTCTTCTCTGCATTTACTTGAAGTCCCATTTTCATTGCCCTGCCTGTTCTGTCAACTTGTTGGTTTTTGCCTGTAGGTCTTCGAAAGTGTGCGACAAGATATTAGACATAAATCATCATCGTTAGCGAAATGCAAATTTTCTTCTAGAGTGTTTTCATCGTCCAGTCAGCATATACGCATCTTCTCACAGCTCATCACAGTTTTTACATGATCCAGTCGAGTCGAGTTGAGTTGACCACAGTTTGGAATATCATTGGTGATAGTAGGTGGCAGCCTTATCTAACTCCTGTCTTCACTTCACTTCACTTCATAGGGATCACTGGACTTTCCATTATGAATCACTCGTCATGTGGAGTCTTCATATAGCTATCCGTTGAATGATGTTGATAACGGTTTGTGGTACTGAACCCGTGGTGTTGAAGCGGCTGCTAAGAAATTACTTCTCGGTCGGTTGAGTTGACTGTCATTCTGTTTGGTGTTGGTTCTATGATGATGCGTAGTGTAGCGTTGCCATTTGATCCGCACATGATTTGTACTTCCTGGAGACATTCTGTTCCAGTTGTAATTTTGAATCCAGAGTATCTTTTAATCTCTCTAGTATGGTGCGGCGTAATATTATGCTTCGGGTGGAGAGGGTTGCAACATGATTCCTCACAGGAATGGCGAAGACTTAGGTTTGCCTTATTTGGAATTTTGATAAGGCAGCCCTTCTTCCAATCGGTAGGTGGGTACCTTTCCTTCCTTCCTCCATTGCACACCTTCTGCAGTAGAAATGTGAGCATGTCAGCTGCTGATATCTCTGCATCTGTTTTCACTCCTTCTGTCGGAATTCCATATGGTCCTGCTGCTTCCCCGGATTTCAGCGACTATATAACGTTCACGACTTCACTACTGCTTTTGTCAGACGGCTTGTGTTCACTGGTAGTTCTATGGTTGCTGGTGATATTTATGGACGAGTAACAGGTGGTGGTGGTGATGGTCGATTGAACAGCTTTCTGAAGTGGTCAGCCCATTGTTTCCTCTAATTCTCCTCTTTGGTGGTAACTAGGTTTCCGTCACTATCTCTCATTGGTTTCATCTGCGTTGATCTCTTCCAGATCTCCCAGATAGCAGTAGCCTCATTATTTGATATATAATGTTATCACGTCTCTGTCTCTCCCCTACCTGAAGACTGTTCTGTTCTGCTTCACTTGCCAGTGTGTCATAGGAGTGTGTCCTTTGTCTTTCGGTGCACTCTTCTTCACTTCTTTGTCCAGTGTAGTGTTCTATAGGTGGTAGGTTGTGTTCAAATCCTCTTCTCGTTGTTCGTCCCTGCTCACTCCACTCCACTCCACTCCACTCCACTGGTTCATCTTCGCCTTTGCCTTCACCATCATCACCATCATCATCATCTTCTTCTTCCTTTCCCTGCTCTACCACGTTCCACGTATTCGTCGACATCCATTCCTTCACTTCTTTCTTCTTCATTCCTAACACGGTTATGCAGGTTTCCTTCCACATAGCTTTCAAACAGTTCCAGTGTTGTTCCATGCAGCATGCAGGTTCCTTCACCATTGTTGACTAATGTCTCCCATTATGTCCTCATCACTGGCTGACGTGAAAATATCCCTCTCAGTTTCATCCTTCAGTTCAGTTTGTGTTCTCGGTGTTCAACTTCAACTGTGGTTGTCTATCACCAACTTCTGTGAAGGCTTTCAACTTGATTTTGAAGGTAGGTTCCTTGCACTAGATAGTGGGTGGTGTGAATCACCTTCATCTGATGTTGTGTCCAGTAGGCTGGCTGCGTCTCCACTTTCTTCACATTGAGTTGAAGTCGATCTGATGTTTAGTGCAGTGTGTGTGATGTCTGGTGAAATCCATGTCGGTCACTTTGTTAATATGCTTGTGCTTGAACACAGTGCCTCTCCTCCAATCACCAAATCGTTGAATGTGCAGGAGTCTGTAAACAGTTCTCCATTGTCACTCATCATTTCACCGAGTGCTTCTTCCTGTGTTATCCTCTCCAAGTTTGGTATTCATGCCACGTCACCCATTAGAATTTGATGTCGACAACTGAGGTGTGTGTGATTGCAGTTGTCTGAAGCATGCCTTCTCCTTCTCTTGTTGTGCGTCTACATTGTTTGTAGGTGCTTAGTGTAGTGTAGTGTAGTGTAGTGTAGTGTAGTGTATCATTATATGATTGTGACTTTCTTTCCTTTCGAGTTGAATCTTGCTGTCATGATCTGATGCTGCAGGGGGAGAAGATTAGTTTCCACTGTATGAGAGAGATATACAATGAATGCTTGATATTCAGTTCTGTCAGGAATAAACCGACATAGTGACATTAACCCAATCTGTGAACCAATAAGAAGTAAGAAGTACGTCAAATTTCATGTCGTCTTGTCAACCAATCAAAATGAACATAGAGACAATGATAAGATCTTGGCAGAAATAACCAATCACACACAAGGTTATGAGAAGTATCTACTAAATAGATTCTGTAGTAAAACTTATCGCTTACTTCTTTGTGAATGTTGTGCTGACGATGTTGTCTAGAATGACAACAGAAACTGCTTGATTAACCAATCTAGCCAAGAGAACACAGCAATATCAAAGCAAAAATATTTGCTTGAGTGAATTTGGGTTCGTTTTTTTTCTTGTTTTTTTCAACCTAGTTTTATGTTAGTGCTGCTGTTTGTTCTGCCTCATTTTATTCATTGTATAATTCGAAGATCTATGAATTTTTTGATGATCAGAATTCAATTAATTAATATCTTCATTAGTTCATTGTTTTATTGTTTGATAAATTACTCATAATGTTGACTAGTGTTACTGTTGCACACGCTTAATGTGTTACTCTGGCTGGAATACTTAGTTCTCTTAAGGGTCTTATTATGCTGGTAAGATGAAAAACAGTTACTATTGATAGTGATAGCAATCTGTAAAAGGATATGCTTACCTTAGATAATCAACAGTATCCTATTGATGCTGCTGCTGCCTGACACGCTTACATTATGAATATACACATTAGCAACTTTATATTTTCACCATTTCATTTGAATGATTGATATTTCATTGTCTTCTTTTTTTTTGCTCTCTCTTTCTCTCTCTCTCTCTCTCTCTCTTTAAAAGGTGTACAAATAATCTCAAATACATGTCATTTACCTAAACATTCAATATATGAAGTTAAATTGAAACCAATTATGTCAGCTTTAAATCTATTGAAAATGTGTCTTAGCGGCAGTTTAATTAATTTCGGTGTATTCAGTCTATTTCATGATGATTCATTGGAAAAAGTTATGGAAATGGGTATTCAATTATTATTATCTTTAAATAATTCTGAATTACATGTAAGATTTATTATTCCCTATTATTATTATTATTATTATTATTATTATTATAATTATTATTATTATTATTATAATAATAATAATCTAACTTTTATAAACTTCGACAAAACAATAAGATGTAAATTTTGAGGGGTTATGGAGATTTGGAATTATTTCAAGTTGTTATTCATCGTAGACTGACATCAGTTGGAGGAACAAGGTAAACCTGGGAGCACTGGACAGCTGTTTCTTGTCCTAGTATGGGACTCCTCAGCAGTGCGCACCCACGACCCCACCAGCAGGGATCGAACCCGCGACCTTCAGGTTCCGACCTTTGTTCCTCCAACTGATGTCAGTCTTCGATGAATAACAACTTGAAATAATTCCAAATCTCCACAACCCCTCAAAATTTAATTGAACTAGTGCTCGTTGGTGACTAGCTTCGAGAAGTATTCCTGAAGTTCCAATGACAAGTCGTGACCGGTGGAGTCAAAGCCTGATGGCCGTGAGGACAAATACTCAACGATGACATTGGGTGGCGGTTTGCGCTATATCGTGGGCTAACAGAAGTTGGAAATATGTAGCATTGGATTCTGACCCAGTGGCTCAATGGTAACGCGCTGGTCGCGGAACCTGAAGGTCGCGGGTTCGATCCCCGCTGGTGGGGTCGTGGGTGCGCACTGCTGAGGAGTCCCATACTAGGACGAAACAGGTGTCCAGTGCTCCCAGGTTTCCTTTGTTCCTCCAACTGATGTCAGTCTACGATGAATAACAACTTGAAATAAGATGTAAATTGTCTGAACCGTGTAATGGTGTATTTGTGCAACATATTTCGAACTATCTGATCACACACGTACTTGTCATAGGTATTTATTATAAAAACTCATGAAGATAAGCGGTGAGAAAATAAAAAGGGGTCAGGTAGGAAGGCTGACTTAAAGGCCGAATAACAATGAAAATCAATAAAGCGAAAAAATAACAGTACATCGAATTTGGTTTTTCAATAGTTGAATTTACCAAGGAAGATTTAATGTGACAACAAATTGTTTATGAATACATAAAGGTGGTTTCAACTTCTTAATAGCTAAGGCTTCAACAAATTTTAGGATCCCTCTCCAACATATTTTGTAAATAGGTGTGAAGGAAGTAGCCACATCAATCTTGTGACCTGTCTCAACGATATGTTTAGCGATCGAACAACTTGGACGTCTGCTATCAACATTTATAGGTTCAGGTGATTTAATTTGCTTCTGAAACCACTTTGGATAAGATAAAATATTGTTTATGGTGTAATTGTTCAACTTCTTTTTTTTTACCGTAATGTTGGAGCGTGTTCTGATTGGTTTGAAGTAATCAAAACTTAAATGAATTCATATTTTATATGAAGTATACCTTGTAGTTGCTTAACATTGATCATTCTTTAGAATAGAACAGTTTTAACTAGCAGTCGTATTGTAGTGGACGTCGCTGATTAAAATAGATATTATTATTATTATTTGTCCCTTGGGTTCCTAATGGAACATAGAGCTTCAGTAGCACGTCTCTATTACACTCTCTTCTCTGCAAACTTTTGAATCTAGTCCCACGACAGCCCAGAAGCTCTCATTCCCTCCTCCACGTCACCCTCGGACGCCCAACTCGTCCTTTCCCATCTGGGTTCCACTCGACGACCTCGCCTGGCGCATGATGTCCCCAATTGACCTTCTCAGTGTATGCCCAATCCATCTTCACTTCCTTCCAGTGCATATTTGTTGAGCGATAGGTTGTTGCTTAGTTGGTTCGTTGACAGGTCAGCCAGAGTTCCTTGTTACATATTCTTGTTATTCTGGTCATCTGAGCTTCAGTAACTAGCTATCATAGGCAGTTGTTGATGAATATCTGTAGTTTGTTGGAAATGCTTTTCGTGACGCACCAAGTCTCTGAACCATCACATAGAAGCACTGACTTGGCTGAATTAGTGTTGAAAATCCGGATGTTGTTCACGCTTTATGCTGAGTGGAGTGCAAAAGATCTCCACACTGGTTTCAGGTTAATGAACACCTGTCTTGCTGTCTTTCCGATTCTGGCCTTGACGTCTTCGTCTGTGATGCCTGTAGTTGAAACAGTGGTGTTTAGATAGGTGAATGAGGCTACTTCCTTTAAGTTTTTCCCATTGAGGGTGATTGGAGCTTGTTGTTGTTAGTTGGATATAAGTAGTATATATTGAGACAGCGGGAGAAATCGTAGAGAAACGCCAAGAGACAATACAGGCGTATTTAATAGCAAATCAACATTAGGAAATAAAGCATATTGTGCAAATGACTGTCTTAGTAGAAAGTGTACAATATTTAATGACTACTGTACAAGATTTCAATAACAGACATTCCTTCCTTCATCTCCGTCTTGTCGTTTTCTTCATAGCATCCATCTACATACCATTAATATTTATGTTTACCCGTCAGTAAACTTGGTTGCATTTTATTAAACTGTAAAGGTTGATAAAGTTACACTGATGATCATTTGATTGACATATTCGACCACTTGCATCTTTTCTGATATGTTTAAAAAAGTTACTTTTGGCACCGAATGAAATGTGCCACTGTGTGGTCGTGCTGGTTTTTCTTTCTAACTAGTAAAAGTTTCAGTCTCTATAGCTCTATTCTTGTATTCAGTACAGACTGAATTATGACTTGGTCATGTGTCTTCATTCACTCGTTATCTGTTGTGTTTTCGGTAGACGTATTTTAAACCATTAAAGGTAGATACCAGGATGTGGAAACTGTAGGGTTATATTAGATGTATTACACATTGATTTTCCTGATTGTGGTGGCCTGAATCATTCAGCGAACAGTGAAGAGGGAGAAGATGGCCATACACTGATTGCACCGATGAAAAGAACCTAGAAAATTTGAATTTCGCCAATAATAATAATAATAATGATTTATGTCGAATGTCTGGTGGCACAAACTCGAAGATATACAAGCGAAAACCAACAAGTTGACAGAACAGGCAGGGCAATGAAAATGGGACTTCAAGTAAATGCAGAGAACATGGACGTGATGAAGATACCCAACCAACAACAGCATCGACAACAAGCACCAATCACCATCAACGAGAGAAATCTAAAGGAAGTAGTCTCTTTCACCTACCTGCCTGCCTAGGCAACATCGTTTCAACTACAGACGGCATAGACGAAAGCATCAAAGCCAGCCAGCCAGCCAGCATCGGAAAAGCAAGACAAGCCTTCCTTCATTCATCTGAAACCAGTGTGGAGATCTACTGCACTCAGCATTAAGCGTGAACAAGATCCGCATTTTCAACACTAATTCAATCAAGTCAGTGCTTCTATGTGATGGTTGAGAAACTTGGCGCATCACGAAAAGCACTTCCAACAAACTACAAACATTCGTCAACAGCTGCCTATGCTGGCTCGATACTGAAGATCAGATGGATGGCTAGAAAGAATAAGCAACAAGGAACTCTGGCTAGCAACGAACTAACCAAGAACCTATCACCCAATAAATATGCAGTAGAAAGTGGAAGTAAATTGTATTGGGCATACACTGAGAAGACGAACTGGGGACATTACGCGACAGGCCAGGCCGTTGAGTGGTCTCCAAATGGAAGACGACGATTTTGATTTATATAAGTAGTAGCATTTTCCAACACTTAATACATGTGTCGGGAATGACTCAACATCTCTTCTGGATATATGGAAAGTACTGATCCAATTAGGTAGAATAACTTGCTTTACCAAATGCTCCCTTGTAACGATTACGAGGTCAACTACATGGGTGTCAAAGTAGTCCACTAAGGCTATCTAAGCACAAAAGTTTAGCTATCCAATATCTGTTTTAGAAGCTTGTGTAAACCAGTTAATTTCTTCGTGTTTGTTTCTTGATCTTGTGGAACAGTTCCAGGTCTTTGGCGGATTCCGATGCAGCAGATCCAACCACTTATCTGCTATAGCTCTGGTATACAGAACAGGAGGTTGAGTGTTGGTTAGTTTGTCTGGGACTGCTATGCAGTTGGGTTCTTCAGATATCGAGTTGCCAGACAGTTGTTTGGACTAGTCGTTACACCCAAGTAAAATAAAAGGGGTAGAAAGACATGTAGAACTTAGGCAGTTGATTACAGTAGCAAGAAAACTTGTGTAGAGATAACACAGAATGGTGTGACACTAGTTGGTTTCTTCGGTCTAGTTCATGTTCCAAGTAGATAAGGTTAAACCGAGGGTCTCTGCCTAAATATCTGGCCTTTTCTTGAAACTTTCAAAAAATGGGGGAGTGGACTACCTCTGCTAGTAAATGCATTCCAGTGCCGGCAGACTCGAAGGAAGAAGTACAACAGCACACGTGGATCACCATAGTGGTCACTCAGTAGTATTCCTTTGTTCGAGTGACTTGTGTCATTCAGTATTTTGTAACCCATTTTCAAATCACCTCATAACCCGTTCGGTAACTGAGAGAGTACAGACCTTGGTCAGAATTGGTAGATCCGATTAGGATAAAGAATCTAGAAAAAAAAACTCAGTCATAGCTATGCTTGCAACTATATACAACCACACCGTAGGATAGGGAGAAAATCTTTAAAATTCACTTAGTTGGGTAGAAGGAGAGATTGATAGTAGAATCTTTGTTTATCAAATCAACATCTACTACATGTAATAGATATGACTCAACGTCTGTTCTGGTTATTTGTAATATCCTACTATCTTTATCACAAGCAGTTGAATGATAACAAAAAGGGGTTACGTAAGACCTTTAGATCGTTTATAAAGTGCATATAGATTAAAAAGAGGATGAGAACGACTCAACTATCGATCGAGATGACATCCTACATGAGTTTAACAATTGGTACTCAGCGTTGGAATTCATTATTGAGAAAGAATAAGAATGAGCTATTCCTTTCCTTGACATACTGATTACAAGACGTAGCAATGGAATGCTGAAAAGATCCATCTACAGAAAACCCATATGGAATGGATAACTCACTAATTTCCATAGCTGGTGCCGATCACTGTGCTATCGAATACGTAATATTTGTAGCACGGAATGTGTACAACTTGAACTTAACTTTCTAAGAAGGACACTCGCTGAAAACGGCTATGCTAGCCAATTTATCGATAAGCATATGCTAGAAACACATGGGAAACCAGTCACCAGCTCAGTTTCAAAAAAGACTTTGTTCATGAACCTGGATTTCAAAGGTGATGCAACATCAGATATCCTGAAAAATCGTCTTTCTAGATCAATTAGTAGAACTTTTTTCGCAGAAAAACTTCACTGAATCTTTACCAGTCGTAAATTGTTCTCCATTTATATTAAAGACAATATCCCTCGACAGGTCACATCCATATGTATCAACCAGTTCACCTTCTCCTGTGGAGTAAGGTACATCGGCCGTAGTCAGAGATTGCTGTCAAACACGTATATGAGAACATGTTACAATTTGGTCTTATAAGGGTCAAAGGAAATGCATCAGAAATTTTATCCTTGAGCATTCAATCGATTCCAACCATTTAACCGACCCAAACAAGGATTTCAAGGTTGTCTATCGAATTTGCTCAAACACCTCACGTTTCCTCAGTTGTTCAGCTTCTTAAAACAGCAGACGCTTTGGCTATCCATGAATTAAAGCCTGCCTGACTTTTGTGTGTAAAAGAAGTATGTACAGTCTTTGTCCTCTACCTTGATCTTAATTTATTTTAGTCTTGGTGCGTTTCCTCCTCTTTTTTTTTCATTTTTCACCCCTTTCCTCTTATATCGTCATTATCACTCTGTTTTTTATATTTAATTGTTTCCGGTGTTATATGATCATTTGATCTTTCTAATAATCGCAACTTTTAACAAAACATTTTCAACTTACTCCAATTAACCTGCTGTCTCACTTATATTACCTAATCACCTTTGATTGTTTATTAACGTTGTCACCCTCTTTTTAATCTATATACACTTTATAAACGATTTAAGGGGTTTACATAAGCCCTTTTTGTTAACATTCAACCTTTACGTCGTCAACTAGCAACATTATAATTATCACCACCCCCCATTATAATTGTTTCAACCCCGTAAGTTAAATCCTTCCTCATGGATTACAGTCTTTATGTATATATACGAATGTACAGCTTGAAAATAGAGTCCTTTCCTCTATTTATCTTGTTTTTAATGCCACAATGGGAATTATGAACGTATTTTCGTATATAACAAATAGTGAAACTATTAGTTATCCGATCGAAAAATTGAAATCCACTCAGTAACCTTGTACACATTCATGTAGCAGTTAATGTATTGTTTAAGGGCTAGTGATACTACTTGATTTCATAAATCTCATTATGTGGGACAAGTCTTGAAACTGCATCCTATTGATTAGAAGTCACTTTTGTTGACACATGACACCACTTGAGTAGTGCAGAAGTCAGGTATAGAGTTTTAGGGAGTAGAGGTAAATCAGTTGATGAGGTTATGAACCTTCATCGATTGAGACACATACTACGTATGCCTAGTCACTGATTGCCTCGTCACACAATGTTGGCCGAAGTAGGTCTAGGCTGCAAAAAGGCCTGAGGTCGCCAGACTAAAACATGACATTAATGTATAAAGTCTCTGACTGTTGGTTTGAGCCATGTGGGGCGATGCAGACTTGGTGGTAGGGGTCCGCAGGACAAGAGGAACCAGTGGTTGAAGACTGAATCTAGGTGATCACATGGTTCAGAACCTATGTCAGTGGCGTAAATGTATCCCCACACACGTTATCCTCATCTTAACGACTCTATGCTGAATCTCACCATTTTGTCATTCTTTCTTTTTTTCTCCTCGTACTTTATATTTCTTTTGACTTCATTATCTTATCTTCATCTTCCACTTCACTGCCTTTTTACTTGATGTACTGATATGAAGTGTAACAACTCGGACCGTTACTCAGTAATACTTCGTCCTATGTTGATATTGATGATGATGATTTGTTGACATTTAGTTTGTGAGTGATTATTTTTCCTTTAAAGTATCATACTACTTATTTTCACTATAATCATATGCTTCCTTTCATCCTCAATTAGGATCATTCAAAATTGGCATTGTGTCATTTCGGACTATTAGAGTATATGCTAAATGAGCATATCATTTTTGTTGCTTCGTTGGGTACACCAATTTTATTACATCTCTTAGAAACTATTGCCAGTAATTTAACTTCACTAGGTAAGTGAATTGTGTTGATCGTTTCTTATTTTCTGTATTCAATTAAAAATTATTGATATTGTATACAAATGTGAATATTATTACGTTACTGGTTAACCTAACTCTAAGATGAATTGAATACTTGGTTTATCAAACGATAACTATCCTATGCTGTTATAACTAAGTCTAAAATCTTGTGATTGTAAATAATCCATCTAATTGAAACGATTGGTACCTAGGATATCAACTTCACGTGTCATAATGGACTGGAGTAGTCGATTAGAATAATAAATTTATTAACTGTTGGTCTAGTTAAATGAAATCTGAATGTATTCAGTAATCATGTGAACACTTGTGTAGTAGATAATGAGCCACACCTATTTTGTGAGAGCTAATGGTACTGCCTACACCTTGGTAGTTGGTACGGAGTTCGAACCCGTGACTTATTGGTTAAAAGTCAACTGTCTGAACCAATAAGCTACACCTCCAGTTTAGCAGAGAACTATGAACTTATCAAGTAAGTTTTCTAAAGTTGTAGTTATCGTTTATTTGAAGACCCATTGATGAGATTACCTACAGTCAGTAAAATAAGGTTAAAGATGTGAGATATGAAGCGATTAGATCATAGTTCATTGATGTCTTCTTAGCGTTGCTCGTGTATAGTGGAATCACTGTGTAAGCAGTGTTGTGGCAAGTCAGTCGGTCAAGTCACCAACTGCTTCCACGTACCATGCTAAAGGAAGCTGGATTAAGTTGGAAAACGGTTCAGGATGGTAAAACCAAGACCTGGCACTAGTCTATGAAATCTTGTACTGTTGGTCTGTGGTGTGTGGGGAAATGTAGACTGTTTGGTCGGAGTCTCCAAAATGAAACGAATCAGTGGTTGAGGACTTTATCGACACTTTTTTTTTATCATGCACCGATTTTTTGTGTAATACTGTAAAGTGTGACATTGTGGAGCGATACAATTGTGTGCTAGGTTCTACGGTGATCTTTTTGTCTATCTGTCTTTCTTGAAGATATGTTACGCTAATCTTTTTTGTTGTTGTAATTCTCTGAGCTAATTCATTACAGACTTTAATAATAAGGACGTTTTATTCGTTTCTGATATAAATTGAGTAGCTGATACAAGTTTGTACGCTTAAAGATCACTGAATGGTTGGTTAGAAAACAAAAAGAGACTATCGAAAGTTTATTATCAAATAAGAATGTGTACAGAATATAACGATATATGTAATATATTTTCAGCCTTATCGATATTTTCAACACTTCTAACGAGTTTGAAGTCTTCAAGTGTGAACACTTGAATTTTCATGAATATTCAACATACAGAGATTGGTTGTGGAAGCTTTCTCAGTGAACCTTAAAGTTCTTTAAAAACGAACCTCTGATTCAATGATTCATTGCATATGACTTTTAAAGTGTCATTCTGAATTACTAAATGCGATTTTGTCTGCATAATAAATAGTAGTCTATAGATTAGACTGGTTTTTTAAGATAAATTGTATATTCATGGACATATAGGTTGTGATTGATGTTAGTCAAAAATCTAACTGCCAGCATAATTGAATTCATTACTGTCTAGAGTGAATATTCAACGCTTCATCCACTAGATCAAATTTCTTTATGCGCTAGATTTTCCTCCATCTTCAATCATTTTGTTCTTGTGTCTAATTAAAATTGAGTCTATGAGGCAAAAATAAGTTAAACAGCCTAATTATTTGTATGATAATCTTCATTCTTAGAAATGACACTAACAACAATGTGTATATATATTCGCACAAGTGTATTTTACTGGTTACTTTCAATTATGATAGTATCATTATTATTATTTGTCCCTTGGGTTCCTAGTGGAACATAGGGCTTCAATAGCACGTCTCCAGTGCACTCTGTTCTCTTCAATCTTTTGAACCTGAGGCCACGACTGCCCAGAAGCTTTCATTTTTTCCCCACACGATCTCCTCCATGACACCTCTTCGGATGCCCAACTCATCGTTTTCCACTTCGGTTTCACTCGAGGACCGGGTCTGTCGCGTGATGTTCCCAATCGGTCTTCTCGGTCTATGCCCAATCCAATCCATCTCACTTTCTTCTGTATATTTGCTTGCTTGGTTGGTTCGTTGCCAGTCAACCACAGTTCCTCGTTGCTTATTCTGGCCATCCATCTGATCTTCAGTATTGAGTAAGCGTAGGCGGCAACTGTTGATGATGTATGTCTGCAGTTTGTTGGAAATGCTTTTCGTAACCTGACAAGTTTCTGAGCCATATAGAAGCACTGACTTGACTGACGTTAGTGCTGAAAATCCGGATGTTGTTCACGCTTTACGCTGGGTGCAGTGCAGTGCAGTGCAGTAGATCTCCCCACTGATTTGATTTCAGGTTAATCAAGGAAGGCCTATCTTGCTGTCTTTCCAATCCTGTCTTTGAAGTCCTCATCTGTGCTGCCGCTCCTGTAGTTGAAACGATGCTGCCTAGGCAGGCAGGTAGGTTGAAAGAGACTACTTCCTTTTGATTTCTCTCGTTGATGGTGAATGGTGCTTGTTGTTGTTGGGTATCATCATCACCTCTGTCTTGTCTACGTTCACCTGAAGCGAGTTCGGTTTTCGCTGCCTCACCTCTTCTGTCAACTTCTTAGCTTTTGCCTATAGGTCTTCGAGTTTGTGCTACAGGACACTAGACATAAATTAACGGGATAAATGTTTCTGATATCACACATTATCTATTAATTTTAGTCTTATCCATAAGTTTAGTTTATTCAATTGAACATTTCTTCTCATTAATGATACTCGTTAATGAAACAGAAGTAGAAATTTCTGTTAACAATTACAATATCATTATCAGTTTCAAACTGTATCAATGAATTTGTTTCATATTGAAGCAGTGTACACACATGGAGAGTCAATAGATAAGTTGACAAATCGGTCTATGAGAGATAAGATTCATGTTATCTAACAGGATATTTATAAGTGATACAAAATAAGATTGGAAATAATGTAATAGGTGAATAGACAGTAGGTGTAATGTTACAATGAAATTAAATGATGAAATAATTGTTATGTGACTAGTAAATCTACATCAATAAAATCCTTTAAGAAGAGAATACAAAGGAGAGTATTATTATCATTATTATTATTCGTTTTATTATTTTTCCCTTGGATTCCTAGTGGAACATAGGGCTTCAATAGCACGCTTCTATTGCACTCTCTTCTCTTCAGTCTTTTGAATCTGGCTCCACGACTGCCCGTTACCTTTCATTTCTTTGTCGCATGATCTCCTTCATGTCACCCTCACCTCAGACACCTAACTCGTCGTCTTCCATTTGGAGACCACTCAATGTCCTGGCCTGTAGCGTAATGTCCCCAGTTGTCTTCTCAGAGTATGCCCAATACAATTCACTTCCACTTTCTTCTGCATATTCATTGGGTGATAGGTTCTTGGTTAGTTCGTTGCTAGCCAGAGTTCCTTGTTGCTTATTCTTTCTAGCCATCCATCTGATCTTCAGTATCGAGCCAGCATAGGCAGCTGTTGGTCAATGTTTGTAGTTTGTTGGAAGTGCTTTTCGTGATGCGCCAAGTTTCTCAACCATCACATAGAAGCACTGACTTGATTGAATTAGTGTTGAAAATGTGGATCTTGTTCACGCTTAATGCTGAGTGCAGTAGATCTCCACACTGGTTTCAGATGAATGAAGGAAGGCTTGTCTTGCTTTTCCGATGCTGGCTGGCTGGCTGGCTTTGATGCTTTCGTCTGTGCTGTCTGTAGTTGAAACGATGCTGCCTAGGCAGGCAGGTAGGTGAAAGAGACTACTTCCTTTTGATTTCTCTCGTTGATGGTGATTGGTGCTTGTTGTTGATGCTGTTGTTGGTTGAGTATCTTCATCACGTCCATGTTCTCTGCATTTACTTGAAGTCCCATTTTCATTGCCCTGCCTGTTCTGTCAACTTGTTGGTTTTCGCCTGTATATCTTCGAGTTTGTGCCACCAGACATTCGACATAAATCATTATTATTATTATTGGCGAAATTCAAATTTTCTAGGTTCTTTTCATCAGTGCAATCAGTGTATGGCCATCTTCTCCCTCTTCACTGTTTGCTGCATGATCCAGTCTACCACAATGAGGAGTATCATCGGTGTTAGTAGGTGGCAGCCTTATCTTACTCCTATCTTCACTTCAAAGGCGTCACTGAGCTTGAAAACACGATAGCCACTCTCTCTGTGGTTGTCGTCTGAGTGACATTATCGAAGTCGATTATTGACTCTGTTTGGAGAGTCCACTTCCATTCCATATCTTGTAGATTCCTAGCACTTCTATGCTATACCTTCTCATCTCTTTTGCATTCTGGGCAGCTTTGGTAAACTTATACATGGTGTGGACACTTATATCCCCATCCTTACTTTCGCTTTATCGAGAGGATGGAGACAGATTGGCCGACTGGCTTGTCGAAGGCTTTCGCCAACCGGCGTCATTTCGTCTCTCCGATGCAAGCGAGGAATGAGTTTGTTTTTATTTTTTATAATTTCTTTGTGCTTTGAAGTTTCTTTAGCGATTGGATTGGTTTTCCGGGGTACGGTTGTTAGCCCTATGCACAACCTTCCCTCTTTACCCGAGCTTAGGACCGGCTAGTAACTAGTGTACTAGTTAACCAATCGAGGTTACGGAGGAGAGTAGGCCGCCATAAATGGTAAGCTACAAAGCCTTTAGTCAGGTAGTAGATTATTTACCTACTGGAACATGCTGCCATAATGCCTTTCGATCGACAGAGTCAAATTTCATCTTCATACTAATATCTACACTGGTGTCTTGTCGGTGAGTATGATTGTGTCCCAAGATCTAGTAGTAGTCAATACAATCACAGTCATATCTTAAGTCTGCATTCCTGAGCTCCAGTTAGGCAGAGAACTAAGAATCTTAGACATTATTTTGCCTAGATTGACTTTTATTTGGTTACCAAAAAAAGTGTTTCTTTCTCAAAGACTATTAGAAAACAGTGGTTGACTGCAGTTTTAGGTGTCGTTTCTGAGTCCTTCACTTCACATAGCTAATAATAAAATCAGTAATTGTGGACTGAAGTCCTTAAATATCCCAGGCACTAGTCTATCATCATTGCTGTTGTTCCTTCCTTCAAGTCAGTTACTGCTGTAGTGCTACTAGTTAACAGCAGTTGATAACTCTATGTCAACGTTCTGTTCAGGCAGGCTGCGATGAAACTGGTTGTCACTCAAACTGTTCTTTTCATCGATTCATTCATCTCCCATATGAATGAATTGCTGCCTTACTGGTTGGTCTGTGTATTCGAATTACAACGTTGCTAGTTGTTATTATTCGCCCTCAAAACAAAATATGTGACTCATTCCTTAGTGTATGTTCAAATGGACATGGTTGCTGTGCTACATTCAGCAGTTTAGATATGGTACGAGACTTCTTCATTATAAGCAACAGTCATGTGCCGCTAACTTTCTGGATTACTCTCGTTTTAATCAACCTTAAGGATTGTTATAAAGCTGAGAATCATATTCACATGAATCATATCTTCAATGACCAATAGATTTTGTCCCCACCCCACCGTTTTATTTGTGGAGCTCCGTTTGAGTGATTGACCCTGTCAATGTATTCGTTTCTAAGCAGTTAGTTAAATTGATTGTGATAGTGTATACTACCCAAATGGTTGATCAAAACCAGGTGGTTCAACAAGTCCGCTTATTTTTGCTGAATAAATCACCGTTAAATATTTATTGTGATCATTGGTGCATAACATCTTTTCAGTAACGTTAGTCTTTAGGCAAAAGGTGAGACTTCAAACATCTAGTCTACAAACATTTCAGTGATATTTTTAAGATTATATTTATCATGGACTGATATCAGTTGGAGAACCATTGAAAGAGAGATATGGGAGCACTGGATAGCTGTTTCATCCTAATATTAAGACTCGTCAGCAGTACGCACCCATAACTCCACCAAGAATCGAACTTCTGTCAATTCGTGATATAGTGTCACTATCACTCAGTTGGTATACACTTTACTTCTGATTAGTTGATCCCGTAGGTCACGAGGTATATATATATCAGTCAGTTAAGTCACCTTGACCCCCGAGTGTCACAGAAGTACCTGTAAGCTCTATTTTTTTTACAAGATGTATAATTCAAGAGTTGATTTTCTTAGTTTATTCATATAAACGTTTGACTTCATGTGTCAATGCGAAGCGAGGCCAACGTGAACTAACTTACGGTTAGACCCAGTCCCTATGTTTGTTTTTTTTGTTTGTCAGTCATTTTACAACACCTTAGCTAAGCATATTCCCTTTATTGTAGCCTATAACTACAAGTATAATTGAAGTGACCGTGTGGATTATAAGAGTGAATAAATAAACGATATTGAATAGTATTGATGTACTCGAATTAGTCATGAATAACATAACAAGCTTGCTTTTGAAGTGAAGACAGGAGTGAAACAAGGTTGCCTACTATCCCCCATGATATTCCTGATTGTGGTGGACTGGATCATGCAGCAAACAGTAGGCAGCGAGAAGAGGGGGATACACTGGACGGCGGAAAAGAACCTAGAAGACTTGGATTTCGCCAATGACTTGTGCCTAATGTCACATAAACTTGAAGATCTACAGGCAAAAACTAACAAGTTGATAGAAGAGGCAGCGAAGACGGGACTTCAAGTGAATATACAGAAGACAGAAGTGATGAAGATACCGCACCACCACCATCAACAACAACAACAAACTCCAGTCACCATCAACGGGAGAAACTTAAAGGAAGTAACCTCCTTCACCTATCTAGGAAGCACTGTCTCAACTACAGGCGGCACAGGCACAGACGAGGATGTCAAAGTCAGAATCGGGAAAGCAGCAAGACAGGCGTTCATTAGCCTGAAACCAGTGTGGAGATCTTCTGCACTCCACTCAGCATGTGGAACAAGATACGGATTTTCAACACCAATCCAGTCAAGTCAGTGCTTCTGTGTGATGGTTGAGAGACTTGACGCGTCACGAAAGGGATTTCCAATAAACTACAGACATTCATCAACAACTGCTTACGCTGGCTCGCTACTGAAGATGGGATGGCCAGAATAATAAGAATAAGCAACAAGGAGCTCTGGGAACGAACCAACCAAGAACTTATCACGCAACAAATACGCAGGAAGAAATGGAGATGGACTGGGCATGCACTGAGAAGGCCGACTGAGGACATCACGCGTCAGGCCAGTTGCTCGAGTGGAATCCCCATGGGAAGCGACGAGTTGGACGTCCGAGGGTGACATGGAGGAGGTCGTGCGAGGAGGAAATGAGAGGTTGTGGGCTGTCGTGGAACCAGGTTCAAAAGATCTCAGAGAACAGAGTGTACTGGAGACGTGCTACTGAAGCCCTATGTTCCACTAGGAACCCAAGGGACTAATAATAATAATAACATAACAAGCTTCAGTTAGTTGCAATAATATTTTGAAAATCATAGTCGGTCTGTGGTTGCAAAGATGATTTCAATGTGCTATTTTCATGTACATAAAAGTAGAATACTCTAGCAAATAAAATGAAATGGATCATTATAGTTGGTCCAGTGAAACATCATTTTATCTTGATCACAAAATGATATAGATTGGAAACGTTTCTAAGCTAAGCCCTAATGGTGTTAATGACTTAAAATATTGATTTCTGTTTTAATCAATTTCGATTCATAATATTTTTTTTTCATGCCTTTTCTTTTTTCTTCTCCAGATCCTGGTATCAGTGAAGTTTGTTGTATGTGTTTGGATTATTTTCTAAGTCATCTTTTTAAAATTATTCAACGACAACAACGTCTAAGTCGTGCTACTATGAATAATAATAATAATAATAATAGTAATTCATTGTACTTAATCAATGTGAACAACTCAGATATATTGAGTAATAATGGAGATAATCGAAGTGATGATAATAATAATCAATTGTTATTACCACACTTAATATTGGGTAAAGGGGGAGCATCAAATCATGCAGTTTGGTCTACGCGTGCAACATCAGCATCTACAAATATGTTGAACTTATTGGTGACCACAACATCGAGTTCAGAAAGTTTAGAAATGAGATCAGGTGTAACTATACTCCGTCGTATCCTGATTACACTACTTAGTTCAGTAATGCAAGAGGAATGTCGATGTCAGTGGTCCATGTCTAGACCTTTATTACCGTTAATACTGTTAAATCAACAGGTATGTAATGAGTTAATTCAGCTACTTGATTCCTGGGATAATTTTCTTTGATTTATTTAAATGTAAACTGAGCAGCCATGTATAGATTCTTGTACCAGTCAATCAACTATGCCTTTTTATACTTATACTACTATGGCCAACTTCGTTTATCAACCTCATTCAACAGCTATATGAAGACGCCTTGTGTCAAGTGATTCACAATGGTAAGCTCATTGATGCCTTTGAAATGAAATGAAGATAGGAGTAAGACAAGGCTGCCACCTACTATCACCAATGGTATTCCAGATTGTGGTCAACTCAACTCAACTCGACTGGATCATGCAAAAAACTGTGATGAGCTGTGAGAAGATGCGCATACGCTGACTGGACCGATGAAAGAAGAAGAAGAAAATTTGCATTTCGCTAACGATGATGATTTATGTCTAATATCTTGTCGCACAATTTCGAAGACCTACAGGCAAAAACTAAGAAGTTGACAGAAGAGGTGAGGCAGCGAAAACCGAACTCGCTTCAGGTGAACGTAGACAAGACAGAGGTGATGATGTTACCCAACCAACAACAACAACAAGAAGCACCATTCACCATCAACGAGAGAAATCTAAAGGAAGTAGTCTCTTTCACCTACCTGCCTGCCTAGGCAGCATCGTTTCAACTACAGGATCGGCGGCACAGATGAGGACTTCAAAGACAGGATTTGGAAGACAGCAAGATAGGCCTTCCTTGATTAACCTGAAATCAAATCAGTGGGGAGATCTACTGCACTGCACTGCACTGCACCCAGCGTAAAGCGTGAACAACATCCGGATTTTCAGCACTAACGTCAGTCAAGTCAGTGCTTCTATATGGCTCAGAAACTTGTCAGGTTACGAAAAGCATTTCCAACAAACTGCAGACATACATCATCAACAGTTGCCGCCTACGCTTACTCAATACTGAAGATCAGATGGATGGCCAGAATAATCAGAATAAGCAACGAGGAACTGTGGTTGACTGGCAACGAACCAACCAAGCACGCAAATATGCAGAAGAAAGTGAGATGGATTGGATTGGGCATAGACCGAGAAGACCGATTGGTAACATCACGCGACAGACCCGGTCCTCGAGTGAAACCGAAGTGGAAAACGATGAGTTGGGCGTCCGAAGCGGTGTCATGGAGGATATCGTGTGAGGATGAAGTGAAAGCTTGTGGACCTAGATTAAAAGGACTACCGAGAAGAGAGTGGAGTGGTGACGTGTTACTGAAGCCCTGTATTCCACTAGGAACCTGAGGTACAAATAATAATAATAATAATAATAATGATAATAATAATAATAATAATAATAATAATAGTGAAACTGTAGCACGTATCTGAAGCTTTAAATTTGTGACTCAATATTGTAGTCGCATGCCTCAACCAGTTACAATTTTAGTATTACCTTCCACAACTATTCACTAGCTATTCAAACTAAAGTTTCCATATGATATCGGTGGTTGAATGTCTAAACTATTAACGTTTACACCATGAAACCGATTTTTTAAATACACAAGAATATTCGACAGCCTTGTATGCTCAAGTGTTTGTTCTCACAGAAATACTACCTGATGATACTTGGTAATGTGTTGATGAGTAACTTCATTGCATCTCATGCGTATAGTAACCTAATGACTATATATTATTCAGGCACACTTATTTAACAGGAAATGGTGTGCGGTGAAATATACTGTGGATCCAGGACGCGTGTTACGTCCCATTTGGGACTCGTTCGGTGGATGTAACTGCTGCACCACAATGAGTAGTAATGTTCCCACTAGTACTCAACGCTTCAAACGTTATACACTAGGTCGATGATGCACAAGAGCTATCTCTGATACAAAAGCTATCAGTTATTGTTTCTTGATACTTTTAGTTTACTGTCGCTATACTAGGTGGAATTGTTCAACCATTTTGGTTCATAGGCTCCTATATGAATGCCTCGATACTGCCCGGATATTCATTGTGTGGCAGAGGTTGAGAAAATCGACCAAGTATATAGCAAACGGGAGCAAGAAGTATCAATAGACAACAACTGATATCCATTGCACAAGAGTTAGTTCTCATGCCTCGTGGGTACCGTTCTATCGTTTAAGCGATTTGTACTGGGTCCAAGTCCCGGAAGGAGTCCCATCACTCACTGGGATGCGGGCACATCCAACTGATGAGTGCCAAACAGGATGAAACGCGCGTTTTGGGATTTCACTGCTAGTCACCAAATAAGTAGCAACATAATGAATATCGCAGTAGAGTAGGTTTATGTGACTGGGTGAAAACCAATTACTTTACTTGAACTTATACGTTCATGAGAAATTGTTTGATCTCAAAGGTGTTTTCACTACGGATCAACACAAGCTAGAGTGTTTTTAGAAACGTAGGCGCATTGGACAACTGTTTCTCCAAGTGTGGGACTCAGGTATGCGCACCCGCAACTTTGTGATAGTAAAGAAATTCCTCAACTTCTGATGCCTTTCAATAGTTTCACATCGTCGCTGAAAATGACTTCTGAAAAATCTCAGTGATGCGAGTCACTTATGGTATGAACTAGATGACAACAGAATGCGTCATCGATGGGATTAGTTATGCAACGCTGAAAATTGGTCGCTGCAAACAGCATTTACTTGCAAGTCTTCATGTACTATAGATAAAGCCACGTTTAAGAGCTATTGACACTTCCTAGCCTCTTTTAAAGCTTTTAATTCAGATGGGTTTATGTACCCTCAACTCAATGATCGTAATTAAAATGCTTATTTCTGTAAGTCATCTCTTCATTTAGGAAAGAAACACCAAGTACTGTTTTAGGGTATTCTTGGGAGTTTTAAACTCCGACATCAAGATATTACGCTTGTTCTGTCAGGATCCCTTAGGAGTTTGATAGGTATTTAGTGCGGTAACCTTAACTTTGATTATGTAGTATCCACGCTGCAAACTAACACCTTTATTCGTGGCAATTTTGTCATCTAAACACCAATCCAAGTACATTGTGAAGTTAGAAAGTGATTCTGATAGTAAGTAAAATTTTCCGTATAATTGTATATTCTTTAGTTTCGTTTAACATCTGAATTCTCAAATGTGCTTCAATTTCACAGCCAACACTTACGTATTTCAACTTGTTAAAACTTTCCACGGAGCTGTAATACAGTTTATATGTTGCTACAGGTGATGGATTATTCTGACAGGTCACTAGGAAGTTAAGTCTTTCTTTTTACTCCAAGTATCAATCATTTACGATCGAGTTAATGTGCAATGTAACCACCGAAATAAATGAATCAGCATTACCCTAACGTTTTCCAAGTGCAAATAACTAATTACACAGTAAGTCAGTCATATCTGTTCTATGATCACCTAAGACCCTATAGATGAGGAATCTGGAATGAGTTGTTTGGAACCGAGCTACATAGTTAGTCAAAGTTGTAACATAACACTACAGACAAGGGGCTGTGATCAATGGTCGTATGTATCAAGGCTCTGTTGTGCACAGCATCGAAATAAATGTCCTTTCTCGGCGTCACAAGCACCGCTGAAGTATCCTTACATTCTTCATTAACGAATCACTAACCACCCACCCCCCCTACCGATAAACTTGTTATCGTCCTATCCATACACAATTCACACCAGCTTTGTTCACCGATGCATAGAACATATTTGCATCTAAAGTACTGTTCGCGTATCCCCTGTTACGAAAATGAACTAACTGACAAAACCAACGTAGAACCTCGCATACGAAAATAGGACAATCTACCGTAACAATAAGTTAAGAAAATAGTGGAGTATTTTACCCAGGGAAATACTTTGTTGCAGGGACATAAGCAATAGCTATCATTAGTTCTGCTTCACAAAGTGACCATTACAAATTCGATGCTGAGGTAGTATTAGATTTTTGCTCAACATCAGATGGCTCCAGTCACTTGAACAAACAAATAACTTTGTTTTTAACCGCATCTTCCTTACTTCCTCTCGCACCATTTTTATTCTTTTATAGTATTATTCCGAACTGAAAAATCGTGTCATCACAGAATTGCCAGCTGAAAGACAAGAACCTGTGACCAAACTGTTTGATAAGTTAATGGAAGATGTAGAATGCAACCTAACGATGAAAAACCGTGACAAGTGGGTTTAATTGAAATATGTTTTTGTACATCTTTTCAAATTTTTCAAGTACTTAAAGTATATCCCTAAGTTGATTAGAACTTCTCACCGTAATTTATGGATACTTAGACCGAAGCCCAAGTTATCCTTTAAGAAGACGATAGTTATTTGCCAAGCTCATAAACTACCTAGTTACGCCTTTATTCACAGTATTAGCAATTTTAATCAAATTCCTTCCTTAAAATCACCAATATGAGTTACGACTGTCGTTTTATTTTAGATTCACTCAAAACCTCTCAAGTTTCAAACATGCTTTGGGAGATTTTATTAAGAAGATGAGCGCGAAATCTGAAAGAGACACTGCTGGTCTAACAGACTGCACGCAGCAGACTGAATACAACAATTACGAACCATATATTTGTCTAGGTAGTGCAATTGTTCAGGCGGGTGAACAGTTACTTTGCCTGTGAATTTTCTGGTCGAAACAAGATATCCCAACTATTTTGTACAATATTTTTCATGATAAAAAATAAAACTTAGTGCAGTTAACAATACATTTTTTTTATTGACATTGGTACATATGGGTGGGGTTGGTAGCTACATGAAGATCATAACTAGTTGCAATCATTCTTTACAGTAAGCCTGAAATTCATCTAAGAATTTCAAATATAACTTGTGTTCCTCCGACGTACAAAAGTCCTGTAATTCTTGTTGAAAATCTGCATTCAGTCCTCGTTCCATAAGCAGCTGCATTGTATGCTCATACATGTTCTACAAGAAAAGGGTTAAGTTTGCCATATCAATCAACAAGTATTACTTACATCGTCAAACAAATCGGTGTACACAAAGTAGCCCGGAATGCGTTCCATCTCGACAGAATCCACGGAATAGGTAGCTAGCGGAAATACAAATTTAAAACATTTGGCTAATATTAAACGGTAAAGAAAGGCAACTTTAGAAAAACTGGCTAGTTTTTAAAAATGGCGATATCAAACTACTGTAACTGGACAAGTGCCGAAGAAATTAGCGTCTAAGAAAAGGACACGTGAATGTAGTTGGTAAGTGAACCGATGGACGCAAAAATCTGTGTCAAACCCTACGTTTGAACAGCGTACGTGGTCAAAGTTAATTGGGAGAAGGACAAAAATGTTCAGGTGGAGAATGAAGAAAGAAATAAAGCCTAGTGACAATAAGAGTGCTTGTTATCAGTGTTTTGAGCCGTTTCATCAACAGCCTTCAGCTTTTTCTCTTCAGTGCTTGATTCTCATCACTACAAGCTCTTCGAAATTTTGAAGTTGGTTATTGGGTTGATGCCGGTTTCTAATTTAGGGGAAATAGAGACTGTTTGTTGCAACTTTGGATTTTGTTGGTTTCTCAGCGAAAACAGCCATCCTACGACGAACATCCTTTTAGAGTTAGATTGCGAGTTGAATTTTCAGGAACATTCCAAACAATTGACTTAATATACATATGTGCGTGGAAATGGAGGATGCAACCAAACTGATAAGGCACGTAAGACACCTACAAAATGACTCAGGCAAAACAGAATTAGAAAGGAAAAGTTGTTACTACCAGATGTCGCTCGTATGGCTACAGCGGACCATGAACCTCTTGCTGGGTGCTTTGGTGGGGTGCAGCAGGCATTCATCAGTCAGTATTATATCCTGGCCCTGCGGGACCACCCTACGGTTCGGGATTCTACTTCCCATATCAGCACGAGTAAGACGGAAAGTTTTTATGGTCACAGAAGTTCACAAAAGAAAATGAGTAACGAACTGTGCATGACCATAAGGACTAACGTGTGAGTCGACCAGTGTAAGTAATATGGATTTTCCAGCAAACGACTTGATTGTAACACGGTCTAACCTGAAGCTGTATTTCACTAAATGGCTCGGACCATTCAGAGGCCTCATAGACAGATGCCACGCCTACGGCTGGTCAACCTTAGTCTTGCTACAAACTAAACTTTATCAAACCAGCATTATGCGACGGCGTGAACTGTTTACGCATGCGAAACTTATGTTCACAACTGCTTCAGAAGACAGAAATCTAAATTACTAACTGATTACCAAGGGTTAGACGCCTAGCTTATACGATACCAAAGTAGTGGTTTCACGACAACCAGTTTCACAAAGGCAACGGTGATCTCAAACCTTCTATCCAGCCAAATAGTATATCAGAGTGCAACCAAGCACAGTGCGCTAATTTCTAACATGTGATTGGATATCAGGGCAGCACCGCAGACGACAAAAAAAAACGAAAAAGCCACTGCATTTTTGTATACTAGTGCTGAGATTCTGTCATTCACTGATCTGCCAGGGTTAATCCCACTTTTCAAACTGATGAAGTGGTCAGAGCACTTAATTACCTGTAGTCAGTTAGGGTATCCACGCGGCTAAGATTAACAGCCCTAACAGGATAACTACTACTTAAGAACCTACCGTTCTACAGCGATCTCAAGAAGCGGGCACCGTCAGGTCACAACACGACACACTGCATAAAAGTAACTTTGCATGTGTTCATCATAAAGGCTTCCAGGGTAGTCACGTGCGACTGCTCTGCTAGAGCTGGTACATCTACTGATGATGGAAGACTCAAGTTCGAGAAGACACTTGAGGGCGATATCTTGCTTCACCTGAACGATCTCATCAACTTCCGGTACTCCGTAGGTCCACCAGGCAGGTTGAGATACTCCTCAGGAGCAGGAAGGGATAATCGGATGTTCGTGTTCACTGTTCCTGATTTTAGACTGAAATATTGTGAAATCAGAAACAAGTCGTTGTTCAGAGAGACTAAAAAACACAGGAACCTAAGACATAATGAACTTCTACGCTGTTTAATGTAGAACTGCCCCTTACAACCGGAAGAATTAGCCGGAGGATATCATTTCATGTATAACGTAAAAAAACAAGTAATAATGACTGAAATCTGGTTCCATCATTGTTTCGAAGACTGCTGTGGAAAGCGTTTAATTCCCGACTGTGATCAGGAAGTTGTCACACTTCTACACAGCATACACTGGTTAACCTAGTAGTCCATGTCCTCCATTCATGAGCATCAGCGAACTCAACTCCTAAGACATTATCGCCGTTTACCGACATTGGGAGAGTGCTGGAACAATTCCAGCTTTCATAACTGTATTCACGTTGTGAACTACCGAAGTGAGCCAAACCAATGCCAAGCACGAGTATCCATTTGTTCTACAGCATGTCGAAGGTGGCATAACTTCGATAAAGGAACAGTATAGCTTACAGTCATTTATGCTGGGCCAATGGCAGATGATAATATGGTGCACTATGACGGAGTATTCAATGACATCCGCAAAGCTGATGACAATTTATTACTCAGGACGCATAGAATAAGTCCTGAGGGTAGTATGAGGGAATGGATGACTGTGGCGAGTGATAGAGTCCCTCTACAGTGTTTGATATCTTAGAGAGGTAGTCTTGGGTACGCTGAGCCGTGGGTCGAGAGTCCGGGACGACGGGAACCAGTAGAGGACTTGATGAATTGGTTGGAAATCGGTCACAACCGTACATGCATTCGCTTTGTCGTTTCCTGAAGCTTGTATATCTGCACTAACCCTAATCTCCAGTTGGTGTATTCTCTGAGACAATTTTGATGACACTTTTGATGATCACTAAATCCACCTCTTCGTTGCATCCCAACATGGGCTACTGCACTTCAGTGGGACGTTCGGCGCTAATTCAGTCTGGTCTTAGGAATGCCAGCTTGAGCGTATCGATATAGTCCGGCTAGTTTTTGACGTGAGAGCTAGTGATAACGTACGCTAGCACAGACTACTTAGGAGCCAAACATTAGTTTATTTGCCTTTCAAACTCAGTGACTCGTCCAGAAACAACTAAGGGTGAGGATTGTGGCACTGCAAAACTAGCAGCTGTGATTGACTTTGAGTAATCAAACCCACCAGACGTTAGAAAATGGCAAATGCTTGTATAACAGCTACAAACGTGTCTTTCAAGGTTAACTTGGATTACATCTTCGGGGTCGAAAACGACATTATTAAAGCTCAACAGAAAATCATAAGCAAGCTGCTTCCTAACACCTGGCTACATCACCCGTTTTCTACCGTGACATTCAATGAGTAAACAACTATCAACGGTTACTAAAGTTCCTGAGATCCGTTGCGTTAATAACCAGTATCTGTAAATAACAATGAATGCATGGTCATATAATCTTAGTAATATAAAGACTTACGAAGAGTGTTTGGCTCATCTGTGGAGAGCTGCTGTTCAACTTCCCGACTTGGCAAACTACAATTGAAAATCACAGATCGACCACCGGGTTTTGTTAGCTTGATGCGCAGTTCCGGATGGGCTTCTAGTGGGATGTTTTCTTCGGTCTTTTTGATTTGCTCATCCAACTCATCCTCTGGGGTACCAGGAGAAACACTTCCGGCTAGGTTGATTTCAATGTTCACACAACTGAAACTAGAGAAGAATAGATAATACAACCTACACTCCATCACTGAAATCCTTGCGCAAAACAAGTTCACACCCTTCACTTCTAACAACCTCAAAACCTTTAGGAGGGCTGCATGTGAAAGCATTTTCTTTTTCTTGCTTGATTTCGTTTGTTAAGACCTGATTAAACTGCCGATCAACTACAGAATTACTTATAAACTTCAGTCTTACTTTGTGAAGAATAAAGTCTGCAGGGGACTGCATAGTACTTGGAAGATTTTGCCGTATTACTTGTTACCAAGTAACGAGGGCCTGTGGACACACCACTTACTAACAGTGAACGGGAACCAGACAAACCACGAGACACCAACTTCAACATCCCACGGTGCGCCATAATAATAACGGATGCGCCTTACCTAGGCCTGACGAAACACCGTGAATTTCAACGTACAGTGTCAAAGTCTTCAAGGATAATAAAAGTAAACAGGGTCCTACTTTCAATCTCGCGACCGTTGATATCAGTCAGATCTAATCTAGTCTTTAACGTATCGACAGAAGTCGTGCATACAATTCACTGTAGATAATTCATATTTGTTGTTTGATGATAGGAGGCTGGGAGCCTATATTAATCCTTTTCCAGTAGATTTCCGTGCTTGTCGAATCCCCTTTTGAACAAGTCAAATGATGATGTGGACACCACTTCTTCTGAGCCATCCACTTAGCCTCAGTCGCAACGTCAGTCTTCAAAATCCTAATGTTGTCGGATTACTGCGAAATGGTCCACTGAGTTCTACGTCTGTCTTATTGGAATACGTTATACGTTTAGGATGGTTACACTTGTCTTTCAGGTTTCGAAAAACCCAAAAGGAAAGAAATAACCAATTATTAACTAATCAGGTCCCAAGGCAGTATTATTCCTTCTGATCTGTGGATGACAGAGCTTCTTAAGAACAGTTCGCAAGACTGTAAGCGTGTATCCAGCTTTTTTCCTAAGTAACAGTGGGCGGAGCTTCAACAACTTCCAGGGGTGGGGATTCAACTTGCTCCTCTCGTTTTTTGTCATCCTCTTTGTTCGGTACACAGGTTAAAAATTAAAGGGCATTGTGGTTGAATGCTTCCAGACATGGAAGCCAGCTAGGAAAATGTCCTATATTCCACTGCGTGCCGTTTAAAACTTGTTCACAATTCAAATCCTCAGTGACGGAGTAGAAAGAGATTTCAATTGATCAGCTTCCATCTCTAGGAGTGTTGGGTCCCGAGCTCCTGGCATCGCACCTAATTTCCAGAGTCAAATTTTCCACGACAAAAATTTGCGTGTTCTCTTAGATTGTACCCGTCGATCATATGAAGTAAATGACGAAGTGAGCATTTCTGGTCGCTGAGACTATTAGGTACCCTTATCAGTCCCCCTATTTGTCCTCTGTATTCTAAGAGATGTGGGTCAAATGCCTTACTTCATTCATCTCATTTGTTAAGGCCTGTTTCATGGAGCCGTTTCAGTTGGCTTCCTCTGGCATGTTTGAGGTTTCCTTTGTATTTTGAAGAAATGAAGGGTAAGCCTATTTAGGTATTAATACTGAGCGAACTTGATAGGCATAGAGATCACTCAGTGATTTTTCGCGCTTGTAATATACCCAAGAGTGCGAGACCGAGAAAGTACACAACAGAGTGGCCAAACGGGATAAGGAATTTGATATAACGTGCTAAAATGACGATGCGTTGCAGCTGACTGGGCAGAGGGCAGCCTACGAGCAACGCAGTGCAACACCACAACGTGCCAAATGGCATAGATGCCTGACCGTCTGTCGTCACTTTAGTCACCCCATTTGTACCATGAAGGTCAACGTGAAGGTGCGATCTCGTCGAAACCTAAGGTATTGGCTTTAAGGCATTTCTTGTTACCCCAACTATGGTACCAATTCCTCAGGAGGGTCATATGAATCTGTTGAGACCCGATGTTAGCATCCATAACGGCACATTCCGAAAGTTTGTTTCGGGGTTGCTAGCGCCAAGTGGATGGAAATAATCCTTTCGTCTCTGTAGGTACATGATCTTAGGTTTTGAGAAGCTAAAATGCCGAAGTTTTTCTCCATCATTGTCGCTTCTATACCGCTGAGTCTATACGCATGGTATGCACTTTTTATCTAGATGTACCGTCTTGTATCTACAAAGCGTAATCCCAAGCCAGCAACTATCTGCTTCAACTTTCGGTCACGTTAGGTATTCCTGTGCGCAAGCTCTATCGTCATGACTTTTGGTTTCACTCCATGGCCTCATATCCTTCAATAAAATGACGATCATCGAAGAAACTCATAGGGGCAAGTCGTCTGTGTATACTAAGAAATTAAAGAAACCCCTTACTACGGCCTGCGGAACCTCAATATCGTTTTCTTCAATTCTTCAGGCACGTGGAAGTTTATCGGAACTCTTTAGAAGGAATCATTTAGGTACGGAGACAGAGGCTTAGTCCGTAATTGGCTTGAATTTATGGACGCAGTGGTTACAAGTGATACTATTAAACACAATATAGATCCGGGTAGATCATATCAGTTTGGCACTGACGGTCACTCGCATTAGTAGAGATGTTCGGTGGTCTACAAAAGGTCTGCTTGAGGTTTGTCACATGTATCTTTCTACCGGTCGTTGTACTGAGGTTCAACTGTTCTAACACCGGAGGGGTAAAACCTATACACCCGGCACCAGAGGGCTGCGGGGCGGAGGAGCGTGCTGCTTTTTAGCGCGAACGTTCCGACTTCGCTTCTCACAGCGAAGAATGCCAGTGTGACACTTGTGGTGATCCACAAGAAGCACTATTGCAATCATACTCCATCCAGTTAGGAGCAAAACGAATCTACCCCCAAACCCCGACCACAGCGCAAAGATTTACGCTAAAATGGTAACTGCTTTTTATCTTACCGCTGCCCATCAGGTCTTTCTGGCATAGTAAGACTCGGAAAGAACAGCCGTTCCATACGGTGTAGGTCATCGGAAATTTCTGTATGCTAACCTGGCCACCACGTCAAGGTTGCAGTTATCGTGCACAAGTGCACGATGGTGGGAGAGTAGGAACATCGTCGGAACTCCAGTTCTATCTTCTCAAGTGAAACGGATACGTCCTATAATAAAAAGCCCTAAAGATCACCCATAGTAACCCGCTTTAACCCGTGATCAACCTACAGCAGAGGAGTCATATGGGATCTTGGGCTTCCGCTATAAAACTGGAGGATCGATTTTAGGGTTTTTACAAAGGTGAATAGACTGGATTGGTTGATATCTGGGGGGAAATTCGCTGATAAGGGACACTATTGTGGTTCACAGAAATCTGTAAGACTCTTAAGAAGCTGCGAGAACGTTTGGGTACTCCCAGATCTTACCCGTTGTCAACGACGGACACGTGGTTAGAAACCTTATGAAATCCCTCTGGAAGCTTTGTGGCGTCACAGACTTCCCCAAAACCTTTCGACATCGATGCTGACATTGATAGTTTAACTGGACTCGCTAAGCTGAAGGCATCCGGTCAAGCATCCTCGCCATTTGGCACGCTGTCGTGTTACGTTGCATTGCTCGTATTCGACTTTCTAGCCAGTTAGTTGGAACGCATCGGTATTTTGGCACAACTACCCAAATATACTATTCCATCCGACTACGCTATCGTGTTCTTCCTTGGTCTCGTATTCGTGGGTATATAACAAGTCCGAATAATTAGTGATTGGTCTTTGCGTCTGTCAAGTTCGCGCCAGGACAAATCCTAAATTGGTGAGCCCGACGTGATCACACATCCCGACCGAAAACAAATATTGAATTGGTGAGCCTGTTCCATTTTATATTTGTTTATTGTTTTCATTTCGATAACATTTATATATCCATTTACTGCACTTTCTCATGTCCGACCACACTCCCAAGCTTATTCGTATTAAGCCGACTCGAACACGATCCAACTCGTGCCATATTGGCCAGACAATGCAGAAACATGGTTTCTGTATGCCGAGGCCGATTTTCGAGAACAGGGTGTCTCAGATCCTCATTCTCGATTTCTTGCCGTCATACGGTCACTACCGCGAGAATTAAACAGGTATGTTACAGCACACATGTTTAATCCTGAAGTAAGTGATCCTTATGCACTTCTTAAGGCCGCACTCTTGAAGAAAAGCGATCTCACAGATCGCCAACGTCTAGACGAATTGCTTCGTAACATCGAGCTAGGCAGCCACTCAGCTACTGAAGTCCTCGCACGCATGCGAGAAGTAATCGGTGCACGAACATTCGACGATGGCCTCTTCCGAGAACTATTTCTCTCGAAACTACCACAACCGGTGCAAACCGTGTTGGTGACACTGCAGTCAGTCCCACTCGATGACCTGGCAGCCTCAGCAGATAAAATACTGGAGATTTCTAGCAGACCCGTCTCCAACGTATATTCTGTCTGTGACGAACCAAAGCGCCAGGATTCGTAGGTGACCAAGCTGTGCAACTCTGTTAAACAGTTGCTACGATCTCGAAGTCCTAGATCACGTAGAACTTCACAGAAACGCACCTTGGTGCATCGCAGCAAGTCGCGTGGTAGCCCCAAAACTAAACCTAACAGGGTGGAAAACCCTGAATGGTGCTGGTTTCATAACACTTACGGAGATGAAGCCAGAAAATGTCGTAAACCATGCCGTTTTAAGAAGGACACAAACTCGGGAAACGGTCACGCCGGCACGTGCTCACGGCAACCGTAGCCGGCGGAAACAGCCGTTTGCTCTACGTCACCGACATTAAAACGAAAGTCCGCTACCTCGTCGACACCGGCGCAGAAGTTAGCGTTCTTCCAGCAACGACAAAGGAGCGTCATCACGACCCATCCTTCAATCTTCAAGCAGCCAACGGCAAGGCAATCGCGACATTCGGGAGACGGTATGCCTACCTCAACTTAGGTTTACGCAAACCTATCCACTGGATTTTCCTCCTGGCTGACGTCTCTATGCCCATCATTGGCATAGATTTGCTGAACCATTACGATCTACTCGTAGATGCTCGCCGTCGACGACTGATAGATAACACAAAGTTATCTATTGGCGGCACCACCTATGTAGGTCCGAGTTTAGCCATCGTTAGGACTAAACAATCAGGCGACGCGTCCTACCAGGCAGTTTTGGAGAAATATCCAGAGTTACAGCAACCGAAGCACACTCTTCCGTGCATAACCAGCAATGTTATGCATCACGTCACAACCACAGGTCCACCTGTGGCATCCAAAGCGCGCCGTTTAGCCCCCGATAAGCTCAAAACGGCGAAAAATGAATTCGACCACATGCTCGAACTGGGCATTATCAGACCGTCGAACAGTCCTTGGGCATCGCCATTGCACATGGTTCCCAAAAAGGATAGCAACGACTGGCGTCCGACCGGTGATTACCGAAGGCTTAACGCCAAAACAACTCCGGACTGCTACCCTATACCCACGTTTACGACTTGACC